AAACACTGAAAATTTTAATTGTTGATTATATGGTTATCTGATATCATAAAGTGAATTCACAAAATATATTTCCAAAGGGGAGGAAAAGAATTCAGAAAAATACTCAAAAAATATACATACCTTTTTTTTTTTTAAATACCAGTCAGGGTCTCACTGTGTTGCCCAAGCTGGAGTGCAGTAGTGTGATCATAGCTCACTGCAGTCTTGAATTCTTGGGCTCAAGCAATCTTCCTGCCTCAGCCTCCCAAGCAGCTAGGACTACAGGTGTGTACTACCATGTCCAGCTAAATTTTCCACATTTAAAAAAGCTTATATTTCTTTTTTGCAAATATATTTTAATACCCGTTTCTATTAAATTTATATTTACATTATTTTAAATAACATACATCTATAGATTATTTATCAAGGCCAAGAATCTGATAAGATCCTAATCAATATTCATTCATTTATTCAATAAACATTTGCAAGGTTGTTTGCAATGCTAGGTGCTAAAAATATATTAATAAAATAGATACGGTCACTATCCTCAAATAACTTAGTTTAGTAATCACTTTGGTTCCTCTCTGTTGTGGTTGTCTTCTTTGCTCGATCATTTTTTTTCTAGCTACCCTCCTGAAAGTATCCTGTATATTCCCTTCCCAGAGATCCAAGGTGACCAGTGCTCTCCCTAGTAGTGACCAATGAGTCCTCTCCACTTATCTTCACATCTTTCCATGCCTCCCTCCCTTTTAAAGCTACCATTTACAGAGCTCTTCTAGGTAGCGGGCATTTATTTGTACATCTTTCACTTAATTCTAATGATATTCTTGAAGGGTAGCCATTATTATCCACATTTTATAGATTACAGGTAACAAAGAAACCAAGGTTCAGAGAGGTTAAGCAAATTATCTCATGTCACCCAGAGAATAAGTGATACAGCCAGAATTCAAGTCTAGATCTTTTTGATACCAAAGCCCATGATCTTAGATCACACTTCATTTGTCCATTTGATCATTCATTCATCTCACATTGACTGAGAAACTATTATATCCAAGATTGAAGTCCCAACTCTCAGGATGATTACAGTTTAGTGATAGAGACAGATAAACAGATAACAACAATTCAGTGTGACCACTGCTAAAGTAATCATGGATAAATTAGACATCGCTCTTTTCAAAAATACAGTGGTAAACACTGGATGTTACTGAAGGAACAAAGAAGGGATACAAAACCAGTCTTGGATGAAAGGGGCATATTAGTCAAGATTGTTTTAATAGAAACCCAATTCAATTTAGCTAAGCAAGTGGAAATATATTGGCTCACAGAAAGTGCACTGAAGGAGCTCATAGAGTCAAAGCAGGAGTGGCAGGAACCAGGTAGGACCTCAAGAACCAAAACTGCAGATGCAAAGCCACCAGGACTCTTTATTTCTCCATCTATTTCTCATCTCTATTGTAGACAGGGTGGATGTGTGATTTTCTCCAGCCACAGTTTGCACCAAGGACAGGGTAGTTCCACTGAATTTATGTGGGGATGGGATCTGTAACAGTGGAAATTAAAGAAAGCAAAAATTTTGAGGCTAGTGGCAAGAGAGTGGTTGACTGGCTAGAGGAGTGATAGTGGGAGATGACTGATAGGGGTTTGAGGGATGGAGTCCACAATGACTTTTAAAAATAATGTTACAGAATAATGAACTGAAAGCTGAGAGCATAGAAGATTTTGGTCAGAGTGGCATGTTTACATTTAATGCTTCAATGGTAGAACTTCCCAGTTACAAGGAAGTTCATGGATTTGTGTGGCTGAAAAGGAATAGAGGTTAAGGACATTCAAATTGAGGAAGTCAAGGAACTAAGAAGCCAGGGTGTCTGATGAACATTCATATGCTGTAGAGTCAGGTGCCAGGGTCATCAGTGAATGAGTTGAGAAGGATAGTAGAGGACAAGAATGAGTGGAAGGGATAATCATAACAGCAAACATTTACAGAATGCTATCTGTCAAAAGTGAGCACTATATTGATTCATTTATTTTCACCTATAGAGTAGGCACAATGTCCCCCCTTTCTTTTTTCTTTTTCTTTCTTTTTTTTTTTTTACAGATGAGACACAAAGACGTTAGATAACTTGTCCAAGGTCACACAGCTACTAAGTGGTTTAACTGAGATTCAAATCCAAGCTACCTGTTTCTGGAGGTCACTTAACCATTACACTGTACTCCCTTCCTGATACACTGTACTCCTTTCTAAGGCTGGACAACACACAGCCTTAGAAACATTTACAGGAAGAGAGAGGAGCAATGATCTGAAATCTGATCCCACATCCTGACTGAGGTACTGGGTGTGAGAGAGTGAGTCTTCTTTTTGTAAGGTTGAAGAAGAACCAGTTCTTTTGGAAAAAGCCAGCCAAAGAAATAGAGGGAATAGTCTGTGATTGAATCAAGTATGTGGGGACATGTTTTTTAATAAAACAAACTAGTGAATAAGCCTGGGAGAGAGTGAAGATGAGAGTAGATGAGAGAGCAATCCCAAAGCAGAATGGGAATGAAAGTACAGTGGAAGGAGATATTTGGGGCTTTTTACTCCTATAGTCAGTATGGATGCCAGGGATCCGAAAAGATGTCTAAGCAAGTTCCCTGGAAAATACAGCTGAGGGGAAGGGTGGTAGGCATCTCTGAAAGAAGCTAGCCTAGGTTAACAGTAACCATGCTTTGGGTGGACTGCTAGACCATGTGAGAAGTCCATGGAGTTCCCAGGATCCTCACCACCTACTTAGAAGCTACAGTAGTCATGGTAAGTGGAAGAATTTAGGCCTCTCTGAAAAGAGTCAGCAGTGACCCTTACAAATTTTACTTCATTTTAAAAATAATGGTATTTTGAAATATTTTCACTTGAGGTAGAAACAAACTGCATGTATGCCTAGCTCTTGATTTCGCCAGTGTCTATATAACATCCCATTCTTCTAACAACGAACCATTTTCCTTTGGCCACAGGGTGGGCACATTACCCAGGCTAAGTGAATCATATTATACCATCCACAGTGAATGGTCCAATAGGTGGGCATATGACACAGACCCGGCCAGTTTCCACCATAGGTCTCTCAAGCTGAACCTAGGAAAAAGAAGTGCTTTAGCTGAGAGGCTGTGATGCTGAACCTGGCTGAGGTGCTATTTCTCACTTCCTGAAGGACAGAGATCACATCTGAGTTTCTGGTTCCAGCCTGCAGGTCCCCAAAATAACCTAGGTTCCTGCAGTACTTCTTTATTCTGTGACCTAACCCAGTATATTTCCAATAAATCCTCCTTTTTGGCTTATTTGCAGTTGGGCTTCTGAAAAAAAACAAAAAAAAAGCCCTAAAATATGCAGTTCAAGAAAATGCCTCTAGCTTAAAAAAATGTACTTTGAAGTTTTAGCAGGATCTTTGCCTAAAAGTTACACTGGCTCAAAAGCATGTCAACCCGAGTTCACTGAAGAATTCAAGTTGCCTACATTTTTTAAAAGAGAATATCTCTGTGTCTCCCAGGCTAGAGTGCAGTGGCACAATCAAAGCTCACTGCAGCCTCAAACTCCTAGGCTCAAGCAATTCTCCCACCTCAGCCTCCCAAGTAGCCAGGACTACAGGCACACACCACCAAGCCCGGCTAATTTTTTTAGTTTTTCCAGAGATAGAATCTTGCTATGCTGCCCAGGTTGGTCTTGAACTCCTCAATCAATGCTCTTGCCTCAGCCTCCCAAAATTTTGGATTTACAAGCATGAGCCACCACACCCAGCCATGCTTACATTTCATAAAGCATGAAGCTCACACTTGGCCTTCCTTTTGAACCAGGAGAGATTCACTTTATGACTTACACTTTCTTTTTCATGTGAAACATCTCCTTGGACTTCTTGAGTCAGTCAGAAGTGCTGTGGATAGATGCAAGGAAGGTGGGGGGTTCTACTGTCCACTTTGGTGTTTTGAAGATGAGGGATCAGGGGATAGGACAAGGCAGGCAGTCCTGGTCCTAGATGGAGAGATAATGGAGCCAATCTCATTAGTGCTCCAGAGCTGGCCAGATGCTGGTTTTACAGGTAACTGAAAGAAAGGCTGAGAAAGTCACTTGTACTATGATGTGGCAGAAGCCAGAACAGAGTTTGTGCTTCTGCCACTGTGCTCTAGGAAGCGTGACTCTAATTAGCTCATTTTGCCCTTCCTTAAGTTCAGAGCAGGAATGAGAAATAGAGCTGGACTAAGCACTCTAATAAAAAAACCTGGGTTGGGAGGCCGAGGTGGGCAATTCACAAGGTCAGGAATTCTCGAGACCAGCCTGGCCAATATGGTAAAACACCATCTCTACTAAAAATACAAAAATTGGCGGGGCGTGGTGGTGGGCACCTGTAACCCCAGCTACTCAGGAGGCTGAGGCAGGAGAATTGCTTGAACCCAGAAAGCAGAGGTTGCAGTGAGCCGAGATCACGCTATTCACTCCAGCCTGGGTGACTGAGCGAAACTCCATCTCAAAAAAAAAAAAAAAAAAAGACCTGAGGAGACAATGGAAAGGGCATTGACCTAGGTTAGTTGCTCTTATTGGCAAGTGGGTAGAAGATTCTAGTATCTGTTTGGGAAAAGAGGCAAGTAGTCTAGTTGTTTTCAATGACATTTATGAGATGCTTGTTGTTAGATCCCATGTTCACCTGTCACTCAGGCTTTCTTGAACCTACATTAAATCAGTGCTTGTTTTGAGAAAATTAAGCTGGTTGGGTCCTAAGGAAGAGTAATGTGCTTCATATACTAAAATCATCCCCAAAGGATTTTAACTACTTAAAAAAAAAATCCTTGAGATCTGCTATGTCCTTTAAAACAAAATAAATAAAAATAAAACTCCTACTCTTAATAACATAGCCAAAGTTGCCCACTTAGAGGAGATGATTCCCAGAACTGTAGTGAAGACTGTAGAAATATTAGCCCAGAAGAAGTTCATTAGCCTTGTTAGGAAATTTAGATGTTTAGAATTCCTAAAATATTTTATTTAAAATGAGAAGTCAGGCTAATTTTCTAATACAATTTAAATCAAATGACAATTTATTCTAAGGGTTTTTACAAAATACTTTATGAAAATTTTACATACATAAGAAGTACAGTATAACTGAACAACTTACATTCTAATTAAAACTTTGTTGTAAAACATGTTTGTGACTACTCTTATGCTGATTTCATATAATAAAGTTATAAGAAAAACAATCATATATATGCAGGGTTTTAAAAAAATAAACTCATAAAAATACAGGCTTGAGATCTATCTTAGAATTAAGTCAAAACAAGCCAACAACTGAATTTTACCTATGGCCAGTGGGTGGCACTAAAATACATTTGAGGCTTGTTTTAACTGCCTGTTTTCTCAAGGCAGAAAACACCAGTAAATTCAGTCTCATTGTCCTAACATGGAATTCCGCATTTTATTAGAGATTGCAGAGTAAATAGTTTCTTAAGATCCACTTTTTTTTTTTTAATCATCACTGATGTTCTGTCTCCATTCCACACCCCACTTTGAGTATCTTTCTGCTACTTTTTCCCACAACCTACAAAGGTCCTGCAAGGGTACCAGACCCTCTTAACTGTGGCACAGAATTGTGGTGTGAAACACATGATGGCAAACAAGAACACTTTGCTTATCAACAATACCCCATGTTTAATGCTCTGGGGCAACTTTTTCTTTGAAGCAGCAGCAGATGTTCAATTTTCCTAGCTTGTTCAAATATATTCTTTAATGTTAGAGTCACAAATTACACATTTTGTTATTATTTAAATCCCTTGGGCCTTGTAATCAAAGAAGCACATGCAGATTGGCTTTTACATGCTGTATAGTATTCCTTAGATGCAATAGATAGAAAGTGAGGATATTTGTCCACCTACTCAGATTTTCAAGATCAGATTCCCCGGGTTTAGTAGTTTCAGTGGAGGAACCAGTGGAATTTGGGCTCATTTGGAAATCTTGGCAATCAAAAGCATTCTGAGAGGCAGTGTTGCTTCAATCCAAGTATTGGGGGAGTTTACCATCTTCTCCCAGAGAGCAACTTCCTCTGAAGTAGAGTCCATCCAGTCCACTTCAGTCCCATAACTTTTACCTGAAAAAACGAAGCTTTGTATTTATAAAGAAACAGCCCATTGAGGGTAGGGGAAAGAGGGAAAGTCATTACCCAATTATAACCACCAGTGGAAGCTAAGAAGCGCTTTCTTCACTGGAAGGGCAGATGTGAAACTCAATATAAGGAAGAACTGTTCAACTGTCTGAGTGACTCCATTTTTGTGACCATTACCATAATTCCCAGAGCAATGATTTTTCTTCAAGTTAATGTAAAGGCCAGACGAAAATTCATCAGGGAATAAGGGAGTTAGGAGGACTCCTGTACTGGGTTGGAGATGACACTGGATAAGCTCTAGGTTAGTGTGACTGAGGCTTTAGTGTCTAACAGACTCAATTTTGAATCTTGGCTCTGCCACTTTGTAGCTGTGTTACTTACTTTCTTGAACTATCAGTTCCTTTGGGGGTAACATTAGTAACTACCTCATAGACTTGTGAGGATTCAATGAAATAATGTAAACAAAACATTTAATACAGTGACTGGTGCTCCATAAATGTTATTGTTATTACTCAAAGCATACATTTAGGACTATAAATATTTTTACAGGGCAGACTAGTGATGAAGGCTTTTCTGTCCCTGCCACTGCCACAATAACTTAAGCTCTATATGGACAGACACTTCACCCTGTTAATCCTCCTATCTGGAGCCCTTGGCACACAATCCGACATTTCTTTACTCATTTATTTCACTATACTTAACAGATATCTGTTTTCAGGATATCTCAGTTTTCACTGGGAAGAAGCAAAGCAACAAACAAACCTCCAGTATCTCTGGAAAAATTTGGCTCATGGAGAATTAAAAATGTAGCAAACAGTACCTGTTCCAAAGCCAATCCGAAGACCTCCCAAAAATTGGTTGGTTAATTTGTAATGGTCCCAGACAGTAAGCTCTACACAGGCTTCCATCAGATCTTCAGGCCTGAACCCATCATACACCATAGTGTGGTTGAAAATAGGGTTGGTGGTTTTCCCTACAGCTCTTGTCTTCTGGCGACTTTTCCTACTTGTATCTGGAAGGATGGTACTACAAAAAGAGGCATGATTGTGGGAGCATTTTAGTAAGATAGTGAACATTCATGCTTTCAATATATAACAACACAGCTACTAAAGATTGACAATGGAGGAAAAGATGTGGAGAAATAGTGGTGGTGGTGGTGGTTTGGCAGACAGTGGGGTTTGCGGTAGGGACACATCATGCTGAAAAGACTCTGGACCTAGAGTCAGCTACACTTGGTTTGACTCCTGACTCTGCTACCTCCTGGGTATGCATTTTAGGGAAAGTTACTCAACCTCACAGACACTTGCTTCTTCATCTATAAAATGGGAATGGTGATGCTGATTTCATACGGTTAAAATTAGAATTAAATAACATATGCAAAACACTTAGCTCCATGCCTGCATTTAGTAAGCGCTTAATATGCTAGTAATCACTTGAGGATTCCTTTAAAATTTGGAAGCACAGGCTATCCTGATTAGCTGTGATAGCCTAAGACATCTGTGTTACACAGAATAGAAAAAGAAGACTCCAAATTGCTAGATTTGACTTCAGAAATAAATCATGTAATTTTTTTTACAATCACTTACATTTCATTTATGGTAACAATTAAATGAACTTTAACCTACCATGCCTCTTATAAGTGGCAATATAAGACAATACAAGTGGCAATACAAGGCAAGAAGGTCCGTGAATGGTCTCAGAATGTGACTGACTGACTTGGTCTCAGAATGAGGCTGACTTGAGCCAAAAAATCTCACCAGCTGACATCTATAAAGAGTACGTGTAGGAAAAATCATAAATAATATCATCTATGCTACTTGGATATATGTCACATATATATCTATTTATTTAATAGAGAAGGGGTTTTGCTGTGTTGACTAGGCTGGTCTCGAACTCCTGGGCTCAAGTGATCCATCCGCCTCGGCCTCCCAAAGTGCTGGAATTATAGGTGTGAGACAACTTGCCCTACCAGATATATGTCACATACATTTAAAAAGCTACAGTTGGTCTTCTGGTAGACTACATATAAATAAAATTAGTCAGAGAAACTAGGAGAGTACATTAATATCTGTTTAGTTATTATTTACTAGATACCAGCCACTTTATATGTATAACGGAGAAGAGTTTGCCATTTAAAAACCCAGACTGTCTCAAGCTCTTAGTAAGGGCTGATTAACAAATCATTTTCCATATATGTACAGTCTCATACAATGACCCTTTGCAAATAGGCCACAAAACGGGTGAGACAAAGGGGAGAAGGAATTCTCCCTCTCCATAAAGGAGTCAAGGGGTGTGACATCTTACCATTAGAAATTTAATAAACTCTTTTGAACTGATTATTGCCCTCACCAACAGATGTTTTCCCTAGAAGACATTACATACTGAGTATGAGGTCTCTAGTTTCCTTTGACCTCTTACTTTATGATTTTAAAGCTAAATGAAGCCTTAAGAGTTCATGATATAGATTCCTCCAATTCATGTTTCCATTATCCCAAGTAAATTCATTTAAATTATGAATAATGAGTCAGCATTACAGATATAGAGAACCGAAACAACCAGCAAAGGCCAGGCTATAGAACTGATACAGAGTTATCAATACTATTACCATTTAACAAAAGAATTTAGATGACTTCCCCTTAGCAGTGGTAGATCAAGGCATTCCTTCACCCAGATGTGCACTTCTCCAGTTGTAGGAAGCTTTTTACCTATAATAGAAAAAGAAGAGAAAATTTTCACTGCCAGTTCTCTTTTTGGCAATACTGCATCCAAAGCTGTCAGCCTAAAAATGTTCTGGCACGGAGATACTAGCTAATACTTGATGATATCATCTGAACTGATTAAATCTATATAGTCTTAACTAAGTCTTTCATAATCTGGTTTTACTGAACTCAGCTCTATAAAAATAATTCATATTGACTGTAAGTACAGAGTATTACATCATTCATACATCATTCATTTGGGGTTTTGCTTGGTTCAACAAAATCAGACATCAGGAATGTGAATCATTCATTTACAGTTATATTCAAAATATCTCAATGAAATGCACATACCTTCCAAATATTAATACCAGTATCAATCGGTGCTAGTGGAAGCCATTTAAAACATATTTGAGTGTAAAGTACCCAAAACAGGTATTGGCTAAGGTAATCATTTTTAAGAGTAGTTACACTTTTTTTTTTTTTTTTTTTTTTTTTTTGAGACATGGTCTCACTCTGTCACCCAGCTTGGAGTTCAGTGGTGCAATCATGGCTCACTGCAGCCTTAACCTCCTGGGCTCAAGTGATCCTCCTACCTCAGCCCTCCCGGAGTAGCTGTGACTACAGACATGTGCCACCACACTTGGCTAATTTTTAAATTTTTGTAGAGAGAGAGTTTCGTCATGTTGCCCAGGCTTGTCTTGAACTCCTAAGCTCAAGGGATCCACCTGCCTCAGCCTTCTAAAGTGTTGGGATTACAGGGGTGAGCCACCACACCCGGTCAAGAGTGGTTACACATTTTATAGGGATATTGTATGTATATAAGTAATAGTTAATATTATGGGCAGACAGTTACTAAGAACTTGGCTTAGTCTTAAATTGTTGTCTAGACTGGGTTCATATGAACAGAGGAATGCCACCAGATTTTTCTGACTGGGTTAGCTCAATCAGTTAACCAAACAGTATTTAGTGAGCATCTATTATATGCTCATCTCTATGCTATGCTAGGAACATCATCAGATATACAGAGAATACATGAAATAATCTATGTCCTTGGGAAATGTTTATAGTTATGCTGGAGAGAATAATTCAAATAAAATGATAAAAATGTAATATACAGTAAAACTCCAAGTTATTACTGCAATGTTCTAGCAGATGATACGATCAGTGAGATCTAATATAGTTAGGAAAAGCTTTATGGAGGAGATGGGGCTTCGTCTAAGATTTTGGTAGGTTGAGAAGAGGAAGCCATTTCAAGGAAGAAAAACTACATGGGCAAAAATTCAGACATGGTGGCACCCATCACAACACACAATACCCCTGCCCTCTACTACCAAGTGATAGAAGGTAAAAGGAAAATGGGGTTTCTATGAATGTTGACTTTAAATGATAGAATACAAATTATATGCAAAATAATCTACCTTTTAGGAAAATCCAGAAGTTACAAGGTGGTAGTCTGACAGCAATCTGGCCTGAAAATATGCTTTGCTTGCCCTCTAATTCTTTCTTTTTGTGTGGGCGGTATAAACTACATTAGAATGCTTTTCTTTAGTTCAGTCACTATCCTCACCATCAATTATTTCTTCCATCTCACTAGCTTCACTGCCTGGTTACTGAAAGCATTTGAGTTTACAACCCCTGATTTCAGCCATAATGTTCATACAGATTCTTAAAGAGACTAACTTGGGGAACTCCCTTGGGAAATGGATCAAGGAGCTGGCTGGCATTCACTTCCTGCTAGTCTCTTGCTCCTTAACTGGGCTGAAGACCTGACAAGGAGGCAACTGATAATCTTGAGGGAAAAGCTTTATCTCTTAATGAGACCCTGAGAGTGGAGGGCCAATGAGCTTTAAGTTCTCTGGAGTCCTCCTAATTCCCACCTGTGAAAAAGAACACTCAAGTTTTATTCTTATAGCATATCAATAGGTCCAAATTCTGAACACAGGAATACACAAATTCTGAATACAGGTCATTCACATTGTGCAGATACAAACTTTTTGGAGAGTGAGGTGAAACCTAAGGACTATAAACTAAACTAAAAAAAAAAAAATTAGAATTTTCTCATAGAAACAGAAAGTAGAATGATGATTACCAAAGCTGGCAGTAGGGGAAAAGGAAATTGTTGGTTAACAGATACAGAGTTTCAGATTTGCAAGATGAAAAGGTTCTGGAGATCTGTTTCCCAACAGTGTGAATATACTTAGAACTACTGAGTTGTACACTTAAAAATGGTGAAGATGTTAGATTTTATGGTTTTTGTCACAATAACAAAAAAAGAACTTTCTTATTTACAACTGTGAATAGACTCATTTGGTCTATATGTTACTAACTTGATAAGTTTGTTTAGGGCCTCACCTTTGAAAATGCATAATAAATACTGGGAGAAGAGAACGATAAGGAAAGGAAATAAATCTGAATAGAAAATCATTACGTACCAGGGACTGGCTCTGGGACATACTGGAGAGCTAGTTTCATTTCACCTCTGTTTTCTGCTTCAAGGGCAACTGGTGCTGTCTGAAAAGTGAAGAAATGTCAGCAGGTGTGAGACAGACTTTTCATTCTGTTTGTTGGTACAGGTCCTATTAGAGAACCATATCTGTCCCATTTCTGGGACCATGTGTCACTCATGAGTGCTCTGGATTAAAATTTATCTCTGCATCAGAACTAGACTGTTGCCTTAATACCTGGGAAAGCTAGGCTGTATATCTTGAAAAATCTTGCAGGATACCCAGAAAATATTTCAAGGCCTTTAGTCTCAAAGATGGTGAAGAAACCAGAATGGCTTTCTTGGAGATGGGAGAGGTTTCTTAGAATGCTTTAATCTTAATCAAAACACAAATATTTTGTTAGCTATTCAGCCAGCATATATGACAATTTATTTGTATTCCCTTTATTTGAAGGAGTATGAGACAGTGTGTGAAAGTAAGGGGGAAAAGGCTATATCTTAACATTTTCAAAGCTGCACTAATCTGATTATTTTAGGCCAAATGCAAGGAAGTCTGTAAGTATAACAAAGACTGAAGAAGAATTTTTTTTTTTTTTTTTTTTGTTTGAGATGGAGTCTCGATCTGTCGCCCAGGCTGGAGTGCAGTGGCCGCATCTCGGCTCACTGCAAGCTCTGCCTCCCGGGTTTACGCCATTCTCCTGCCTCAGCCTCCCGAGTAGCTGGGACTACAGGTGCCTGCCACCTCGCCTGGCTATTTTTTTTGTATTTTTTAGTAGAGACCGGGTTTCACCGTGTTAGCCAGGATGGTCTCGATCTCCTGACCTTGTGATCCACCCGTCTCGGCCTCCCAAAGTGAACAATAATTTTTAAAATTTCTATCTGTTATTTTCAAGTACACCTTGAGTATTCCCTATCTGAAATGCTTGGGACCAAAAATGTTTCAGATTTCGGATTTGTTTTTTGAATTCTGTAATATTTGCATATACATAATGAGATATCTTAGGGATGGGACCCAAGTCTAAACACAAAATTCATTTATGTTTCCTATACATCTCGCACACATAGCTTGAAGGTAATTTTATATAATTTTTTAATAACTTTATGCAACCTATCACACGAGGTCAGGTGTGGAATTTTCCACTTGTGGCATCATATCGGCACTCAAAAAGGTTCAGATTTTGGAGCATTATGGATTTGAAATTTTTGGATTAGGGATGCTAAACCTGTAAGTAAGATAGTTTTACTTTCAAATTCGGGCTCTTTAGAGCTTTATTTTCAAAACATGGGTATGTATCAGAAACATAATGGTAGCCAGTTAAAAATGAGATGCTTTTGGTATCTTCTGAGGAGTTCAGGTCTTGGGTAGGGCTAGAAATAAGTGCTTTGTGTGATTTTGATATAACATTTGAGAACCATTTCTTTAGTGGAACTAAAACAGTTCCACTGTTGTGTAGACACTAAGTAATGGTTTGTATTAGTTATTTATATTTATCACTTCCTACTATGATGGACTAGCTTGGATCACATCAACCCCTAAACTAAGAACAATTTAAAAGGCGGGATTTTAAATATCAAATTGAAAGTGCTAAATAAGTATTAATACAGACGGGACTCAAATGAACAAGATCTTAGAGTGTGACATTCTTCTAGGCTTTTCACTTTGAGGCATTTAAGTAGTGCCAAACTGAGCACATAAAAAGCCTAACAGAAAGAGACTGAAAAGGTGAGCAGGACTTTTAGCAGTTTCATGAGGCTGGAGAGACAGAGTCCATGGCCTGCCAAGAAGGAATGGCATTGGAAAAGCACTCTAAACCAGTGGTTTTCAAAGTATTGTTTCTAGGCCAGCAGCACTGATGGGGAACCTGTTAAAAAACGTATATTCTTGGGCCCATAAATCTTGGGAATAGGGCTCAGAGTCAGGTGGGTGGGTTTTTTTGTTTTTTGTTTTTGTTTTTTTTTTTGAGACAGGGTCTTGCTCTGTTGCCCAGGCTAGAGTGCAATGGTGTGATCTCAGTTCACTGCAACCACCACCTCCCGGGTTCAAGTGATCCTCCCATTTCAGCCTCTTGAGTAGCTGGGACTACAGGTGCATAACACCAATCCCAGTTAATTTCTTTGCAAAGGCAGGGTTTTGCCATGTTGCCCAGGCTGGTCTCCATCCAACTCCTGGACTCAAGCAATCCACACCTCAAACTCCCAAAGTGTTGGGATTACAGGTGAGAGTCACCACATCCAGCCCCAGAATCTGTAATTTAATAAGTCCTTCAGGTGAATCAGATGCATGCTGATTTTGAGAACTACTTCCCATGGCTTTCAGTTGTAACCTCTGAAGGGCCTTAACCTAGGAATATGAGCAAACAAAAACTAGACCAGATCACTTGAAAACTGGGCTTGTGCTTCAAAGTCAGTTCATTCCCAGATTAAATGAAGGTGGTCTATGCCTGCTTTGTCAGAAGCAAAAGAAAATCTTCCCAAATTATTCCTAGAACGTTCTCATATGCAACACCCCACATATGATTAAAAAATGAACAGGCATATCAAGACAAAGAACTAAGCGTCCAAACTAAGATTTTAAAAAACATAAGCAGAACTCACAAATTTTTAAGATATTGAAATTTTCAAGTACATACATTAAATAACTTTGCATGCTATATTTACAAAGACAACGTAAGATAGAGAATTTTAGGAGAGAAACGGAATCAAAACAGAGTTAAAAGAAAATATACTTTTGAAAATATAAGTTTTATATTATAGATTGGCTGAAATCGTAGATGGTTTTAACAACAGAATAGACAGCAGATAAAATTGTTGAATTGTAAGACAGGTTATCAAAAAATGGACTGAAATATAAGAAAAAAGAATATACAGCATAAGAGACATATTGGACAGAATAAAAAGGTATAATATACTTGTAATTGGAGTTTCCAGAAGGAGAGGAGAAAATAGTGGGGCAATAGTAATATTTGAAGAAATAATTCCTGGTAAATTTTCAAAGTGATAAAAGATACCAAAACATAGATAGATTCAAGCAGCTCAGTGAACCCCAAACCTCAGGATAAATTAAACTACACCTAGGCTCATTATAGTACAACTGCTAAAAATCAAAGACAAAGAAAAGTATCCTAAAATCTGGAAAAGGACACTTTTCAAAGGAGCAAAAATAAGACTAATAGCTGACTTCACAACAGAAATGACCAAATACTATGAAGTGACATCTTCAAAACATGGAAAGAAATAATTGTCAACCTAGCAACAGAGCAAAAATATCCCTCAAAGATTGAAAAAGATGTTATGATACCAAGAAAATCTGAAAGAATCTGTTGCCAGGAGATACTCACTAACAGTAAAACTAAAGGAGAGCCTTGAAGAGAAGAAACAACTCCACAGAGAAATCCAGGAAAGGAGAAAGAGCAATGGAAAGCCAAATATGTGGTCAAATCTAAATTAATAGACTGTATAAAACAATAATAGTAATGTCTTATAGGACTTTAAAATATATACAATTAAAACATGACCAAAAATAGCACAAAGGATGGGAGAATGGGTAAATGGAGTTAAAATGTTCTTGGTTCCTTTCATTGTTCTGAAAGTGGCAAAAGCTCTCATTTATATTACAGTTTTAATTCAAGGATGCATATTGTAATCTCTATAGGAACTAATAAAGAAAAATGAAAATAAACTATAACTGACATATTAAGACAGAGAAAAGAATGGAATAATAATCCCAAAGGAGGCAATTATGAAAATAAGAAAATAGGACAAATAGTAAGATACTAGGTTTGGACCCAAATATGTCAATAATTACATTAAGTGCAAATGGACTGGATAATCCAATTAAGAGACAAATATTTTAAGACTGGAAAAACATCAAAACTATTGCTTATAAAAATATATCTGAACTACAAGAATTTTAAAAGGCTGAAAATCAAAAGACAGAAACAAACTGCTCATCAAAAGGAAGCTAATAGAACTATACAAATATAGGCAAATTAGATTTTAAGGCAATAAGTATTACTAGAGATAAAAAGGGAATTTCAAGATGATAAAATGGTTCATTTATCAAGAAAATATAACAATTCTAGTTGTATGTATATATAATAAGACAATCTCAAATACAGTGAATCAAAAATAATAAATCTAAAAGGAGAAAAAGACAAATGCACAATTGTAACTCCATGAGTAAAATCCATGAGGATATAAAAGATTTCAGGAACCAGTTTTGACTTAATTGATATAGAACATTACATCCTTTAACCATCGAATACACTTTGGTTTCAAGTGACACATGGAACATTTATCAAAATTCAGCCAGATATTAGGCTAAAAGTCAGTATCAAATTTCAAAGGATTGAATTATTTAAAAGACCTTCCTGTAGTCTCTGAAACATTTGTGTTAAATGATTTAAACATTCTCCCAATAACCTTTTTACCTTTCTTTTTTTTTCTCTAGTTTAAAATTATCCCAAACTACAGATCTGTGCTCTGAATTAAATGCAGTTAAGCTTTTTCCTATACACCAGGCCCCACATCAACCAACCAAATAAACAAACAAAAAACTCCAGACTTACCTTCCGCTTCAGAGGGTACCATCTCAATTGTTTATTCTGTTTGTTATCCCAGTCCCATGTTTCCAAATCAAGTTCCACCTCCCCTAGGAAACTATTGCGCTTAAATGTATCCCGATGCCAAACGGACAGGTTCAGCTTCTGTGTCTTTAAGATTTGTTTTTCAATTTTATACTGCAGTTCAAAGAAGAAAATTAAATGATGAATAACATTACTTGATGCCAAGGTTATGACATACAGATGAAGAGAAAATTCATCTGTATGTATCAAATTTTCTTATCTGTTAGGTTTCAAGTCCCAAAAATATTGCAAAGTCATCTTATTCTAAGTGTCTTGTTTCAAAGAGGTAAAAATCCATCTTTCATAAAAGCTGATTTGCTTCCCCACTCTCGAAAAGCAAGCCAAGACTCAAATATCATAGTTGGTAATAGTTCTCTAACAATAAAAGCCAATTTTTCAATTTTTGCTGAATATTTTTAGACTAGATGTAATACAAAATTCAGTCTAAAACACAAATCAAGTTTAACACAATTCTCTGTTTGCTACTGAAGAACAAGGTATTTTTTAAATAGTCTTTTTAGAGCAGTTTTTGGTTTACAGCAAAACTGAGAACAGTATGCCATGTATGCCGCCACATACACACACCTCCCCCACTATCAACGTCCCACACAGACGAAGTATTTAAAAAAAATAAATAAACTTGTCTTTTCCGGCTTCATATGGCCAAGTAGAAAAGATCTGGCATCCTAACAGTTTTTCATCTAAAATGTAGTCAACCTTTAATTATATATAATCATGGAAAGGACAATAGTACTTCTAATCTAAAAATAATTTCCATTTGGCTTCATGATGTACTACTTGAATGTCCATTGTGGTTGTAGCAGGTCTGTCTTTCTCTGAGCTTAACATTTAAATTATCTGGCTTTTCCTGAGTATAGGGTTGAGGTAGTTGACCCAGAAATAGCTAGGGTACTAGGGCATATCATAGTCAAACTGTAATTAAAAACTTGCTACAAAAATTCCACAGGTGGTTAATTCAGACCATGGATGACTGAGTGTTGATTTAACTGCTTATTTTTCCAGAGGATGATCAAATACTTGGACAGAGTTTTCAGAAAGAGGGAATGAATAACACCTATTTTTAGCTTTAAATGATCTGTTAGTCATGACTAAGGCAGCATGATGTAGTTTTGGGGGAGAAAAAGAATATGAGCCAAGTATACTTTCTATTCATCTGTCCATTTATCTTTCCAGTAAACATTTTTTGAATACCTATCCCAGATTAAGGATCAAGATTTATTAAATGCTTAATGTGTGCTGATCTTTCACACAAATTAACTAATTTACTGTTAACTGCTAAGGTAGGTAGGTAAGTACCATTATTATCTTCCTTTTGCAAATCTGAAAACTAGCATTATCCCCACTTGGCAGATATGAGGTGCCCAAAGACATACAGTTTACAAAAAAACACTGAGTTGGTCCCTACCCTCATGGAACTTACAATTTAGTGGCAAGGAAGACAATTAAACCACTAGTTAAACTGCTGTTAACATATCCTGCTATAAAGCAAGATTATCGAGGCAGCAGACAGCAGGAGAACTTAGGGGTTAAGTACAGCTCCTCATAAAGAGGTATTTAAGACAGTGGAGGAGGTAGTTAGGGAAATAATGTGTGGAAGAATATTCCAGCCTGAAAGAACAGAAATTCACAGAATTGTGAGAAAATGTACTTCCTTAAAATAATAGAAAAGAATTCAGGGTGACTGGAACAAAGACTATGAGAGAGGAAAGTTGAGGCTGGAGTTCAGGTTGTGAACAGACTGGTGTGCATGTTAAGAAAGATTGCTTTGACCCTAAGGGTTATAGAAAGCAGAAAAATAGCATAATCAGAATTGTGCTTTTAGAAGATCATTCTGGTTGCAATGCTCAACTTTATCAGCTGTGGTGTTTTTTTGTTTTGTTTTGTTGTTTTGCTTTTTTTGAGACAGTTTCACTCTAGTTTTCACTCTAGTCACCCATGCTGGAGTGCAGTGGCATGATCTCAGCTCACTGCAACCTCCACCTCCCTGGTTCAAGCCATTCTACCTCAGCTTCCCGAGTAGCTGGGATTATAGGTGCCTGCCACCATGCCGGCTCGTTTTTGTATTTTCAGTAGAGACAGGGTTTCACCATTTTGGTCAGACTGATCTTGAACTCCTGACCTGACCCCAAAGTTGCTGGGATTACAGGCATGAACCAACATGCCCAGCCAAGCTGTGTGATTTTAAATAAGTTACTTCATTTCTCCAAGTTTCATTTGCCTCATCTGTGAGATGCAGACACCAATACCAGCCGGCCAGTGTATGAGTGGGCAGTGAATGAAATAATGTATACAACATTCATGGTGTTTTGTCTCAAACAAAACAGTCTCAGAACATTTGTATTCCCTTCCTTCTCCTCTCTTGGTGACTGACTTTATCCTGTAGTGCTACTACCCAAGAAGATATGGTAAACAGGTCACCATCTGGGATTTTCCTATAGAGTGAGTTCATAGATACCCGCAGTATTTCGTTATACACAGGATTCAAGGTTTTCTTCACTACGAGTGTTTTCTTCTTGCCCATTTTGCCTTTGTCTGGTAACAAATAGGCCTTTACATATCTAAAAAGGAGAATTGAACAGACAAGAAAGTCAAAGAAAATAAAAGTGATGTTTCCACATCTAGTTTTTTAACTACATTGAAAACTGACCACAGAAATAATTATTTCATGACACTAAGAAAAGCAATGAATAACAAATTTTCCCACCAATACCTTTATACTTAAATGTGTAAAGGGTTTTAATGGAATTGATCATTTAATATTGTTCTGAAGATTTTTAACAGGCATTTCCAGAATTCCTTTTTTCCTTTGGCCTTAACTAATATGCAGGGGTGGAAAGGAGCAGAAAACACACTTCTAGGCTGGGCACAGTGGCTCACACCTGTAATCCCAGCATTTTGGGAGGCTGAGGTGAGCGGATCACCTGAGGTCGGGAGTTCAAGACCAGCCTGACCAACATGGAGAAACCCCATGAGCCACGCTGGTCTCAAAAAAAAATCGAAACACAAAAAAAACCACCACACACACACACACACACACACAGCTACAAAATTAGGTGGGTGTGGTGGCGCATGCCTGTAGTCCCAGGTACTCAGGAGGCTGAGACAGGAGAATCGCTTGAACCCGGGAGGCGAAGGTTGTGGTGAGCTGAGATCATGCCAGCCTGGGCACCAAGAGTGAAACTCCGTCTCAAAAAAAAAAAAAAGAAGAAGAAAACACACTTCCAACATAGAGCTTACATCTGTTAGTTTGGTTCCCTTTGAGAAAACACTTTGGTGCTGTATTTTTAAGTTTTTGTTACTGTCTTTTGAAATAAATTCATCTTAGTAAATACCTAGTCAAGTTATCTTCAATATTAAAAAAATAAAGGTTGTTGAGCTTAGTTATTTTTATAATAAGAATAAGAAAAAAGAATTGGGCTTGTCTCAGCAAAGTAAGAATCAGACTTCTGCATAGGGATAAGTGGGGAATACCATTCAGCGTTTGCAAAAAAAAAAAAAAAAACTGAAGTGCAATCAAACCTGTGATTTAAAAAAATAATTTTAGCAATTTCCCCTAAAGTTCTGTAAGATATAATTTAAATATGAAAATTCTCTCATTCTAGAGTCTTAACTATTTTTATACCACTGAGCATTATGAAGTGTGTCCCATGTGTCCCTAATTTTGTAAAACATTTGAGAGTGTGACGGAAAGAGACGGGTTCAGGTCCTCATTCCTCATTTTGCTTCTATCTGAATTCACATATATGGGTTACTTGTCTTCTCTGGTGCTTGCGTTCTTATCTGTAAAATGAAGGAACTGAACAAGATGACCCCAAAGGTCCTTTCCAAGTTGAAATATTTTGTGCTTCTCTGTGATTTTTATAATTTAATGCTTGACATATGTTTTATAGAATAAAACAGCATTTTCCGTCAACTTTTCAAACATTCCTTTTAACACATACCCTCCCTCCTCTTTGATTATTTCCTTCCAATTCCTATAAAGATTGACAGTTTGAGAACTAAGAGAAGGTAGGTGACTCTAAAATGTACTTACGGGTCTGAACGCTGTTTTTTTACATCCGCTGCTGCTAAGTCCTTACACTGGGCCACAAAAACATGCAGCTCCTTCAGTGACTCCACATATTCAATTGCAAACTGAATATTTCCTTTAACTTCCAGATTTCCAAAGTCTCCACTATAAACACTCATCACACTGCCACTCACCTGAAAGCATCAGAAATGCATAGTGTTTGTCTCTATCTTGTTCTTAAACCTAGCACAAGGATCATGGATATAATCCTTACTGGCATTATTTCTTTAGCTTGCTTATAAAAGCAGTTAATTCAATATAGCATAAAGACATATCTATAAAGACAACCTGACATGATATACATGACTAGAGTTTTTTGTTTCATTTTGTTTTTGAGATAGAGTCTTGCTCTGTTGCCCCGGCTGGAGTGCAGTGGCTTCATCTCGGCTCACTGCAACCTCTGCCTCCCAGGTTCAGGCAATTCTCCTGACTCAGCCTACCAAGCAGCTGGCATTACAGGCGTGTGCCACCATTCCCGGCTAATTTTTGTATTTTTTTTAGTAGAGACAGGGTTTCACCATGTTGGCCAGGCTGGTCTCAAACTCCTGACCTCAGGTAATTCGCCCGCCTCGGCCTCCCAAAGTGCTGGGATTACAGACATGAGCCACTGCGCTCAGCCGTATCTCCAATTTTCTAGATGACTGAATAAATCAATTTTAGGTTGTAAATTTATGAGGGCAGTTGTGGAAAAAAAAAAAAGTTATCCTTCAAAATGACCTTTTTGAAAGGTATTACTAAATTTTATATATTTTTAGTAGAGATGGGGTTTCACCAGGTTAGCCAGGCTGGTCTCGAACTCCTGAGCTCAAGTAATCTGCCCACCTTGGCCTCCCAAAGTGTTGGAATTACAGGCGTGAGCCACAGCGCCCAGCCGACTAATGTTTTTAAAAAATTTTCCCCGTAAGACATAGATGAAAAGTGAAATGCAATGTTATTTAGATGCTGGCTCATTTCAAAGCAGGGTGATTTTATGCTAGGTGGCATTCAAAGGCATCCATTTTCAGGCATGCTTAATATTTAAAATCCGAAAGAAAGAAGATGTGAGAAAACCCAGACACTCTAATCACAGTGACACACTGCTGTATCAAATTTCCAAGGCACTAACAAGGAATTTTACCATGTTAACCATCCACTGAATCTAGGAAAATGCTTACTGAGCCATGCGCTTTTAGAGGTCAGAAAGGGTAGAAAATGGATGATTGATGAAGGAAGTTTAAAACCTTCCCAAAGGCAGATGTTAGATTTTTATCAGCAGAAACTCAATTTAAATAGGTTTTTAAAAAAGGTTTCAGTAACACAAGGCTAGCAAGAATTTAAGTACAACTTTATCATTTGTTTAGCATACTTGGTAAAATATATGTATGTGTATGCATATCTGATACTCAGATAAGTGTATGTGGATATATTTACATATATTTTTACATACATACTACATGCACACACCACTTCACCTTATGCAAGAAGTTCTATGTAAAGTCAAATTAGATTCCCTTAAATCAAATCTGAGTAACTACACTTAAGGATCTTTCCTTTTAAAATGCTGCTCAGATGCCTTCTAAAAGGCAAAGAATTACCTCTCATATTCTTTCATGTCAACTGGCATATTGATTCATCAGGATTACTAAAAGAGAGGTACAATTCTATGAAGCATATCTGATACAAGCAGGTTTTACCATAGTTACCCCATTTGTTGCACAGAAAAATTTAGTGGTTCATCTTCTTGGCAATTTAAGTTTATTTGTGAAGTACTTGTATCAACAACAACAAAAAACCCCCCAAACATTTATTTATGATGAATATGAACCACTTTAGTCAAAAAAAAAAAAAAAAATAGATGTAGCTAGCCAGAAGCTAAGTATGGATTAGAGAAACTGCTTGTGCCCTGAGAAATACAGGAGTAGGCTGTTTTACAATGAGCATGAGCATGTCAGAGCAAAGTTCAGAGATGCGGAGAGATATTAACATGGAGCCTTTGTTTACATACAGAAGACAAGGACGTCATGCCAGAGGAGCTGCTAAGATTGGTTAAAGAGCTCGGGCTCTTCTTGTGTCTGCTGAGCTGGTAACTGCTTTCTGATGCTGTATCTGTTTCTCTGTCATCACTCTACAAAACAGCATATAATATGCACAATATTTAAATTCAGAATGAGTCAAGATCAGAATCTCTGTTTAGGCAAAGATGGTATTTTGGTATCCCACTGACATTTCTGCAAGGTCAAAGGATGCTAGTGCTAATTGCCAGGGTATGGGATTCAGGATGGAATGGGTGGTCTGCCTGACCTTACCTAAGGAGGAAGGCAGTGCTTAGCTACCAAAACAACAAAGTGATTTTTTTCACCTACAAAGTAGTCTCTCCCAAAGTGCTACAGAAGACAGCACTATTGCGCGCTTTCTTGCCACTCTTTTAATATTATATATTTATTTGCCTGGGGAACTCTATTGGTATATATGAGAAATTAACTTTACCCAGATAATAAAAAGATTTACTGTTACAAACAAAACATCATATTTAATTCCTCTTGTTATTAGCATAGCCCATAACTTCTCTAAAAATCAAATCTTTTACTTGAGACACTATTAAACTAGGAAAAAAGAAATGCTAATCTGATCTGTTTCAACTCAAGGCCATATATATATTTTTTAATTTTTAAAAATTTTAAACTTCCCCTTACATATTCCTATGTGTTATTGTGCTTATCTTTTTGTTGCTAGAGGGAAGTATATTAAATTATACATTCTACCCACATTAGATTTTAACACATTTAAAAAAAGGAAGATACAGGTACTTATTTTAAATATGTCCCAGGAAGTATTTACCTGGGAAAAGAAAGAAAAGTTACAGTAACAAATTTTGTTATATTTGAATCTAAAGTTTATTAAATAGTAGCTTTAAAAATTTATGATTCAGAGTGAGCTCCTTTTAGGGTTAGAGAGCTTATGGAACAGTTCAGTGGCACCAGGGGTTAAGGGACACCTTTATGGAGTGGTTAGTTCATGCCAGCATATTCCAGGACCATGCAATTATGCATCAATACAATGGATGCCAATTCTAATGCAGATTAATAAAGGAGTTAAATAAAATCAAAATTAATGCTTTACATGGATAAGAATCCTTTCTCAAGGATTAAAACAATTCATATCTTAAATGTCTCTGTTGTCACACTCTCTCCCCACATGCTGAGAGTCATTTCCCTCTATTTTAGCGCCTACTACATTCTATCTAGTATATCAGATCATTAGTGAATTATTGGAAGAACAGAACTCTGCCTTGTTGATCTGGAATGGTGTTCTACACGTAACTGGCACTCAAAAAATGTGACTGATGATAAGTCTCAAAGGGAACAGATGAGTAAGGCCTGATTGCATTTCCACTTTCCTTAATACCCAATTCAACTCATACCCCACGTAAAATGACACAGCTTAATTCTGGCATCTCTGATACACAAACCTAAATGATTTGAACTCTCTTCTGTGTGGAGCTATGAGACAACAGGTTAAAATTGAAGGAAGAACAAAAATTAACCAGGAACTTATATAATTTGCCTCATACACACATATACACACACACATACACACACACACACACTTTTTTTTTTTAACTAGAGTCTCACTCTATCACCTAGGCTGGAGTGCAGTGGCATGATCTCGGCTCACTACAACCTCTGCCTCCCGGGTTCAAGCAATTCCCCTGCCTTACTCTCTCGAGTAGCTGGGATTATAGACATGAGCTGTGACACTCAGCTAATATTTTGTATTTTTAGTATAGACAGGGTTTTGCTATGTTGGCCAGGCTGGTCTCAAACTCCTGGGCCTCAAGTGATCTGCCCGTCTCAGTCTCCCAAAGTGCTAGGATAACAGGCATGAGCCACCATGCCCGGCCTCATATTATTATATGGTTGAACTGCATGGCATGCCTACTGCTGGCTTCTAGCTAATGAATTACTTCCAAAGAATGAGTGATTCTTTCCAAAGGAAACTGTAACATGTGCTCTTAACCACAGGCAAGAGCTGAATATTAGCAGATACAGTTCATCAAAGGCCCAAGAATGGACAAAAGGATGCCCAGGTCAGTGACAGAATATAATTTATGTGTTGCCCAGAGCTTTCCTCAACATTCCATCTACTAAGAGAATGCTTGATAAGGAAGCCTTTTATTTCACCGTTAGAAATCAGACCAAAACTACGAACAGTAGCAGCTAACATTTGCCAGGTACTCGTTATATGCCAGGCACTGTGCTATGTGTTTTCCCTGCATTATCCTACTGATACCCCACAACCTCATGTGGTAGGTACAAGAAAACCAGACTCAGGGAAGGTACTGAATGTGTCCATGATCACACAGAAAATTAGTATCATAACTAGGACTAGGGATATCTGGCTCCAAAGCTCAGGCTCCTAACTACCTGACTGCAAGAAGATGGAATCTTAATTAAGTCAAAGGACCTGAGTTAAAGTCCTAGATCTACTCTTCAGTAGCAATTGGATTTGGGGTAAGTTGTTTAACCTCTCTGGGGCTCTTTCTTCGTTTGTAAAATGAAGAAAATAGTCCTTACCACATATAGTTAGTAAGAGTTAGATGAATAGGTACCTGGCACATACTAGGTACTCAATGAATAGTAAATTATAGTCATGCGCTTTCTTAAGACCATATAGTATATAGTATAGTCGTTAACAGCACGCAAGTTGGATCTGTGCTCCAGGCCTGGTTGAACCCCCTTCTAGCTGAGTGAGGTTAATCTCCCTTAGTCTCAGTTTCCTCACCTGTAATGTGTGGGGATAATGATGGTGCCTACCTCTTAGGGTTGTTGAAGGATTAAATGATACATGTAAAGTGCCTGGCACCCAATAAATACTCCTTAAAGCTTGCTGTGTCATTGTTACTTTATTAACAAACACTTTCAAGCCAGTCATACTGCCTAAATTAAGTTTTCACAAATCAAGTCTACTCCAAACTACAGAGGGATAATCAGTTCATATACCTTCCTGGATTTCTTATTTTGTACTTGCTTTGAAACAAAATCACATTCCCAAATCTATGCAATTTGACTTCACTAACCAAAAGGAGTTACTGTTTGAGTCAAATGAGATGCGCCTTTCCCTGTTCCAGGATCAACAACCCTACTTCTATTGACTTGAAAGGCAAGGGTCAGTCCTTCTGACCTCTTTGGTCTCTGCCACAGTGGAATACAAACACATCAACGTTGGCATAGCAATTGCAACCCTCTGTCTCCATTTTTCTGACGGTACAAAAGACAAACTTGCCTCATCTTGGAGAAATGCTGGAACAGACTTGCTCATCCTTTTGAGTTTGTCAGGGTGAGAAAATGGATTATCAGGTGGTGTAGGCACTGTGGAAACTAAACAGCAGCATTTCCATTTCAAAATTATTCTTACAATTGTCGGAAAACATCACACATTAATTGAAAACATACTTTTATTTAAGCTATGAACAAACATGTTTTTGTAAAAAAGTTAAAGGCACAGTAGTTCGCATGCACAGGATCATGAGATAAGCAACATGCAGTTTTTATAAATTATACATAGAGAAAACTAGCAAGGAGTTGAACCAAATACAAAACAAAGTTAATTTTTAAAACACTAGTTTTTATTGAACTGGAGCTGAACTTGAATTAAAATATACTGTCAGTGTGAATTGGTTTAACTTATTTTTTCACATCAGAGCTTCATACCACAAGGTCTGTATTTGATTGGTTCATATCCTTGAGAGATATTACTAACACACTGCAGGCTGAAAAACTATTTCATCTGGACATCTTCAATCAAGATTTTTGTACACAACTCAATAATAAAAGTGTTCTGGTTGTTGAGTGTCTTAGAGTAGGTGTGTTTAGTGAGCATGAGGATTACTTTTCTGATAGTGTTTTTCACTCAGAATTATAAAATAAACATTATTTTTTGAAAATATAACTTATTTAGATACCTCGTTGATTCAGAATTTTCAATATCCCAAGGCCAAGTTAGAATGGTTAAAGTTAGGGTACTCTAAGAATTTAATAAGAAAATGTAGCATATGTCTTCTTTCTGATATAGAATATGTGTAGAAGGTACAAAAGAGGATAAATTACAATCCTGATTTGCATATACCTAGTTAGAAAACTATTTTCTTCTTTGTCTAAGAATCACAACATCTAAGCTTTTCTTGTGATGAGTCATAGTTCTTATAATGATTAAGTTAATATTTTCCAAGGCACTTAGTGCCTACCACAGAGTAAGCTCTATATAAGTATTTTCTAATCAAATAAATATCATATGATAAAGAATCTTAAATTATATTTTGAATGAAACAAATACATTGACTTCATCATTAAAAGAGATATTAAGAAAATAGATAAAAATCAAATTATATTTCTATACATAACACAAAAGACTCAAATTCATCCTTAAACATCAGTTAAATTCATCTTTAAAGAAATCTAATGAAGGAAAAACTGAAAATTTAGCTACACATACTAAAGATATCCTTGCTCACATAACAATTTTCACCTATCCTTAGGCTCCCATAGATAAATGCACATCAAAATGTATTTATGGTGTCTCACTAAAATGACACCTACTTTAATCACTTCCCATTAAACAATAGTGTGTGTGTATTAGGGAGAGTTATACTGGTAGCAGTGTAAGATTAGGTCCCACAATATGGTCCAATGAGAATGCAAAAAATGTTTTGTTATAACACTGCACCCTACTATTTTCAAAGTATATTGCTGGATGATGCTATGAAGGTCAAATTCAATTATATCCACTACTCAAATGTAATCAATTTTAGATTCATGGGCTTTCGGCACTTGTGTTTGGATCATGTATTTGATTTTTGTGGTAAGAATATACTCTTTACCAGTGAAAAGGCACTAACAGTCATTTTGGAAAATATCACTAAAAAGGACAAATTAATTTACCCAGAATTCAGCACAGGATTAGTCTATTTGCCTTGACCAATAAACTAAGCCAATTAGGAGATCATGAATAAAGATACAGATATTTAGGCATGTATGTCTATGTATGTTTTGCTTTTACTCCTCAGACTAAATTTTGAACAAAACATAGCAAGATAAAATAAGACGCTCAAACTTAAGTATGTCCTAGTTCAAAAGTAACTGGAAAAGCCCCTTTACCTAACACCCCTTAAGGGCAGAAGGCTTGTTTCCTCTGCAGCAGTCAGACAGAGAGCACATACTCACAAGAGCTGAAGCCTGGACTGTCTTCTTTCCTAGGCAGTTCTTAAGAATTTGTCAAGTCATGTGCCAAAGCTCAGCACCTTCACTGCTGGCAGGAGGACCTCATGAGCAAAGTTTCAGGTTTCCCACTACATGTCACTGACTTTTAGCCATCAGCACATTGGTTTTCTATCTAATGGCTCCTCCATTTAGCTGCTTTCCTCATTAAGCCCTATTAGCATATCCAAAGACTGTTGGGAAATTATTATTTAAAATATTGTGGCCCTGAAGGTAGACATGTGTATCATTATCTTCATACCCCCAGTGCCTAGGGTTTATGAAACAGAGTGAAACCGAGAAGCTAACAAGTCATACACACACACACACACACACACACACACACACACACTGCTGCATGCTTTACTAGGCCGTGTGAGCACTTTTTAAATGTGTTATTTGTCCTTAAGATAGTAGTCACAGCTAAGTAGAGTAATCTTAAGATTGAACATAAAAGAGCAAGCAAACATTATATTTGCTTGATGGTAGACATTAATTAGTAGACAGGCATTAGTCACCACAGGTATACATTTACTTCTTAGATTCACGTGTTCACTTGGTTTATACTTAGAACATTTACCATTCAAGTCAGTTTTGCACCTCAGAGTTTAAACCCTGGGCATAATAAGATTGGCTTTTATGGATATGGAGAGAAGCACATACTCTAACTTCCTTTCATAGGTCCCAATAAGTTATAAATTACTTCCATCTACAGTTTTGTATAGAGGCCACAAGAGATCCAACACTCAAAATCATACTGCAACATAAAAACCAAATGAAATCAGAAGGTGCCAACTTGCTTTTAAGCAGAGATTCAAACAGCATAGAGACTGACAAAAGCACAATAATATCAGCAATAACATATATGCATATATATTTATATACAACTCTCCCTCAGTGGAACCACAAATCATTCCTTCCACACAGACAATAGTAAAATGTTTTTAATAAAACCCTTATCATAATGAAATAGTTTTGTAAGCTGCAGGAGTTTAGTGCCAATAATAAATGCTGTGTTATTAATGGGGTTAGTTATTTCACTATATTTAATACTATATAAAGTGGAATGTTTAGTCATTTGTGAGAAAGATCCTGCTACTCACTTCTTGGTATGCATTCATTTGTATCTGGCTCCTGATCTGCTTTCTCATCTACTCAGGAGGGCAACATTGAGAATAAATACCATTTTAACAGAAAGATTAGAGAGACATGAAAGTAAAGCTCAAATGTCAGTTTCACAACTGAGACAGCAGAATACATCTGACAGGTTTTCATCTTGATTTCATTCATTCCTCAGTGTGACTCTTCTTCATTAGCCTCTTTAAGGTCTCCTGTTCAACTAAAAATCTGGGATCCAACACAGGAGATATGGAGCATCCTTCCTGTAATTCACTAGACCACAGCATGGAAAATGGGAAGGAGCACTGAACTAGGAGTAATGAAGCTGAGATTCTATTTCCTGCCCTCCCAATGACTGACTAGCTATAGGATCTTAGAAAAGTCACTTAATTTCTCTGAGTTTTTCTTATCAGCAAAATGAAGATAAAAATCCCTGCCCCATCAACTTCAGTGAGGTGGTTGTAAATATAAAATGAGAAAGATAAAACTATTACATAAAAGTAAAGAATGACCTTTAAGGAGCTCTGTTGCTGCATTTATATGGGAAAGTTCAGTGAGTACACATTTTTATGATTATAGTGAGGGCAATTTAACAACAAACAAACAAAATCCAGCATGCAAATACAAATTATACATTTGCATAAATTCTTCACTATAAAAATCAGACTCATTTCTGTCTCTCCCTCAACCAAGGCACCATTATACTATTCATCTTATAACAAAGCCAAGTAATACCTGATCTATTGACAAGTTTCAAGATCTTCTGGCTCCATTATATTCAGAATCAACTTCACCCTCTGTCTATATTTAGTTATTTATATAAGCAGAGGCAAGATTTCCCACCCTTGTTCTGGGACTCTTTCCTTTGAACTTAAGATTTTACCAGTTGTGCCCAAAGAGATCTAAATGCTGGGACTTGAGAATCAAACAGAAGAATAACTTAACCCAGGAATTCACTCCACTATTCCTGCCTTTACAACGAGTTCTGCAAGTCAGAGTAGCAAAAATCAGCTCATATCCAAAGAAATACAATTTTCTATTTATAGAAATCCTTGCTTCACAAGGGTCTCTGATGAGATCCTCATGACAGTATCAGCAGCAGAAGCCTTAAGAATACAAACTATATTAAATGTACCAAATGAGAACTGTTTTATAGTAACTTAGGTACTATTCACCACATAGTGGCAAATGACGTTCTTCTATTTACCCAACAGCTGCGTCCCAGAGACTGCCCAAAGCACCCCAGAAGTTAATACACAGACAGACATGCAAATACATAAAGATATTTACCATCTTCAGCACTACGCACTAATTCTTCTGGCTGATTATCTACTTTTGCTTGATCTGTTCAGAAGAAATTAACAAATGGTTAATATGGCTGACCCTTGGAGAGAAAAGAACAATGAGATTGTCCCTGGAAGCCCCCGGAGTTGGAAGCAATTAGTCAAGATGCAATGAGGGGTGCAACCAAGATGTCTTCCCCAAAATACTTTCTCTTTAGATTAGCTACTTGAGCCAGTGCCATAGCGGGAGCTCCCATTTCAGCCCGGATGCAGCTCACATCACTGCTGCACACAGACTCCCAAGGGTTAGAGGGTTAGTTCAGAGCAAGCAATCGGCCAGCAGCAGGAGAAAGCACGGGGCTGCAACAGCCTCTCTATTCTTCTGTAAAGGGTATGATGCTAGCCATGACTAACACCTTCCCAAACCCATGGTCATTAACAAATATTTGTGTGTGTGCATCATCATTCGCGTATGCCTCTGGGAGGTTTGCCTGGGAAGTCAACTGAAGAGATGTAACTGGGGACCAGCTGCTAAGTGGAATCTTGGCAGGCTAGTGTGAGAGTGGGTATCGGTATTTGGAAGGAAGCGTGCAGGAATACCCGTCAGCTGATGGTGATTTTTTTTTTTAACCCTATACATTCCTGAGTACTTTAAAGCTGCACCATGGAAATAGCCCCATGTTTCACAGGCAAGAGGTTTGCTAAATTGGACAATTGTTCTGAGTTTTGTTTTGTTTTGTTTTTTTGTTTTTTTCTTTTTCTCAGGGCCCATCACCAACATAAGGAAGAACAATCACGGCTGTCCAACAAAGGATTCGACTCGCCTTCTCTGGAAGCATTCAGGCGGATATGGGGGTTGGCCGCCTGTTGAGGAGGCTTTAGAGGGAATTCCTGCACTGGGGGGGAGGTTAAAATGGGTGATTTTTAAGATCCCTTCTAACCCTCAGATTCCAAGATCCTTGGGATAGTTAGGACTACATTCCAAATTGGGAATACTGTCTTCAAATCCCTGGGAATCTGTGAATTTTAGGAAATGTTTGGTGGAGTGGCTTTTTCTTTTCTTTTTTTCCTTCTTAAATTCTGACTTTTTATTCTTAATTACAAATGCACAAAAAATATTCTAAACATAACAATGGCCAATTATCAATCATATGAGTTTGGCAGTGGTTAACTTTTCACTTGATAATTTTTCTTATGACCATCTGCAATCCTAGAGGTGGATTTTAGCTTGAAAATAGCAAGAACAAAACCCCAAGAAGTCATGGTTTTAGTCCATTTGTCCAGCACACAACTCTCTTGATATATTATGCTTTCTGTTAGTACTCAAGAAATCCTTCACCATTAAAGCAGCTGCCAGTGGGGAATAGTGTACCTAAAGTCTTCCATGTTAAGTAGTTTTGGGCTTATAGTTCCAGTATCTAAAAGAAATGTGAACAGAATAGAAGGGATAAAAGAGAAAGGAAAGTCCTTGAAGCCAGGGACTAATTCAACTCCGTATCATGCAAAATTCAATGGACATCCAACGCCATCATATATAACGTGGTCCCTTCATAAATGTTCTTGATAATAGCCTGTTAATTTTGAGTCCCTGATCTTCTGTGTAATACTAAACAGGTCATTTCACATTTCTGAGCTTCATTTTCCTCATCTTTAAATTTGGATAACAATAATTCACCTCTCATAGGGTTGCTTGTGCTGGTTGAATGAGATAATACATGTAAAATTATTAGGTACATTTTGGCAAATTATATTCAATAAATGTTAGTTATGACTATTTTCACTAATCCTACTAGCTACCACAGTCCTTTCAAACTCAGCGTACTTGAGAAACACTTAAACTGGGATTCTTCAATTAAAGGAAACCTAGTGTTTTAGTAACCAAATGTAATATATTATTTTATAAGCAAAGTTCCAGCCACTTTAGGTTGAGCCTCTTCAGCGCACTTTGGAAAGGTTATTTTCATCTGTTAATGGCCCCCATTAGGGGTTGCAGTGCACAACAGCATGCAGTGAGGCTACAGGAGAGCACATAGGCATTTTAAAGCTTAGATGGGGCATGAACAGTGAGGCGAACTTTATTCTCACTTGATGAATCTGATGAAATGTCTTCTAGACTTTTGGAAGGCATTTTCCTAGCGGCACTCTTTTCCGAAGTTTTCAAAACAGGACTGGGTTCTTCTTTTGAACCTGTTATAAAACAAAATTGATGAACACTGCACAATATCAAAAAAAACAACCCTCTAACATATGGACATAGAAATGGTAGGTTGAAAAGAGACATTATGCTATCAGTTTCTCTACTTTAAGAGGCACTTATTTCACAGAAGCAAATAAAATTTCTCCACTATTAATATGCTCTTAAAAATAATTTACTGGTCAAGAAATATTTGCAAATGTAAACCATATAGAAACAAGATTACCACATTAATAGAAATGTGATCTCTCAGTTGTTTACTCTTATTTTAGACATATGATTTGTCCTATGCCAGACATTGACTCTTCCCATTTAACATTCTAGCTTTTGAAGACAACCATGAAATACTTCTAGGAGCATTAATAAAATTAATTCAAAACCGTAGAAGGCAGGATTCAGATGTTTAACATCTGTGTATAATTGGGTACACATATTCTCCAGATATTCTCCAGATCAAAGGTTGTAGACTTTCTGGGTTTCATGATCTAGTATAATTTCCAATGAAATGCTGGGAAATAACATGGGAGGGAGGCCTCTATCATTTACTAATGCCATTATTTTATAAAAGGAATGGATCCATCATGAATAAGCCTAAGTACTGACATTTATTACTGTTGTATTCTCAGTGCCTAGAACAGTGGCTGGAAATAAACACTTCAAAATATTTGCTGAATCAATGAGTGATTCGATAAAGGAATCCATCAATTTAAGAACCACTTCTCTAGACAATAATTTCCTGAAATACATTCCAGTTCTGCCTGGTACATTCCATGGCAAATAGATTCTAAGACTAATTAGATTTGGATGTTCTCTGTTCAAATTTGAAATGTTCCTTACTGCAGACCTTCTCTGTGCATAATGGCCCAGCATTTCCAAAAGTATTTGACTACTGAACCTTTAATTTTTCCCAAAGGAGCATATTGAGGTATGGCTTAGTTAAGAGCTCAGTCACAAGTCAAAGGTGTTAGCTTGCTCCCCAAAATTACAGTACCCTTATAGTAGGTTTCTCTTCATTTCTCACCCCACCCCTACTGCAGTTTGCTTTAAAATAGTAACTTGGGTTAGAGTATATAAACCTAAATTAAAATGACTATACATTTTATACTTCTTAATTGGCTTGTAATTCTAAAATGTCTTCTCTGGACTCTGTTTAGGTAATTTTTTTTTTTTTTTTCTTTTTTGAGATGAAGTCTCACTCTGTAGCCCAGGCTAGAGTGCAGTGGTGTGATCTTGGCTCACTGCAAGCTCCGCCTCCTGGGTTCACGCTATTCTCCTGCCTCAGCCTCCCAAGTAGCTGGGACTACAGTCACTGCCACCACGCCTGGCTAATTTTTTGTATTTTTTAGTAGAGATGGGGTTTCACTGTGTTAGCCAGGATGGTCTTGATCTCCTGACCTCATGATCCGCCCGCCTCGGCCTCCCAAAGTGCTGGGATTACAGGTGTGAGCCACTGTGCCCAGCCTAGGTGACTATTTAACATTGCTTTTTTAGATAGGCTTTTTACTACTCGGTCAGTTATGCTGGGATACACATTAGATGATAGTCTCTAACATAATTGCGAATTTGCAGGCGCTCCTCCTACTGTGGCTCAGTTTATGCTAGCAACTCATGGGAAGTTTAGTAAGAGCCTACTTCAACAAGTTTAATATGCTGGCTTTATTCTTGCATATGTCTGGTTTTAGAGACTGATACTTCAATTTCTTTTTTTTTTTATTAACAACAAAATTTGTTAGAGGGGCTTCAACTTGACTGAATAGGATTAAAGGTGGATTCTTTGGTCAGTGTTCAAGAAGAAACCCTATAGCTACTTACAAAAGAATCCACACCTCCAAGTAAGCGACTCAGTAAAGCTTATCTATTTTCACTGGAACTAAAGGGAGCTAAACAAATGACAAATTCTACTAAACTACAAGGAAGGCAATCAACAGCAGTTGTGTAACTTTGGTTAAAATGTCCCAGCCAGAAAACATTCTCTATCATTTCATCATTTTAATCAGGTAGCTTCTCATTCCTATTTGCTCTGGGGTTTCTCTGCTAAAATGTACACATGTTGATTAAATAGGAAACTGAGATAAGCCCTATGTTTCACAGCCTGGCCACCAAAACCAGTGCCCCCACATCCATGTAGATGAATGTGGAGATCGATTCAGATCATCAACTTAGCCAAGGCTGGAGCGAAAGAAATGTACCTGGCCAGGCAATGCCCTTGGGTGGCATCAGGTGAGTCATCTGGCCAAAGTCATACTCTAGAAAGGGAAGATTGTACAGATAATTGAAAATGAGAGGAAGAAAGTGGCAACAAAAACACCACAGCACAAGGTATCTGAGGGAAGGAAAGTTCCAGCCTTGTATTTTGTCCCTGGTATTTAGCCACCACTGTGGTAAGATATTGCTCCTAAATGGGAAATTTGTGTCCATCTGTGGCACTTTCTTGCCACAAATCTTACTAGACTTCTATAAAGATTGCCAATTAAGGAAGAAATTCTAAATATTTCCAGGAGGAAAACTAGCTTAAATGTAGTAAAGATACTTTCTCAACACAAAAAGTTATTTTAAAAGTATTTTTTGAAACCTAAAAATTCTATAGGTAGATTAATGAAAAGTCAACTCAGACTCTGAAACAGCCTTATAGGAAAGCTGTTTTATGTAATGCTTTTGATTAAAAAATATAAATAATTTTTTTTAATTAAAAAAGGCTCAGGAACACAGAAGTGGTAAGAAGAATTTAACACCATTTAAGAATATCAAATTAATCCCAATTAAAAAAAATATCATCCTTTACATCAGCATTCCATAAAGCAGACTCATTGTGAGTTAAAAATTTTTAAATGCTCACTGGAAGGATTTCTCCAGCTCTCTGCATTAGAACTGGTGTTTCCATCTGAAAACTCGGACTCAGAGAAACCTTCTTTTTCTTCCTCTTTCTCTTGTTTCTTATATGGCGATGCTAGAATCAATTCAACTTTACTTGTTTTTGTAGAGTTTTCTTTGTTCATCAGGAGAGGAATGGGTTGCCTATTTCTGGACACACTAATTGCTTCAGAAGCCCCTCCAAAGCCAGGTTCCTGAAAAGTCCCTTGTCGCCCTGCAACCCCACTTTCACTGTCCCTGTCCACTGGGGGGTTTACAGTGTTAATGGTCCCTATTTCATGAGCCACATAAAGTTGTGGGGTTCTAGGGATCTCAACTCCACTTTTGGAACCACAAAAATCTACCAATAAATCAGTCATATGTACGTCTCCTCCCAACTTTTTATTACATTGGTTGACTTGAGATTCCAAACCACTACTTTTAGCCTTCATTTCAGAGGTCTGTGAGGCTGCCCCGTAAAAATGGGGCACTGCCCCTAAGAACCTGGTCTGCTCTGACTGTGAGGACTCCTTCTTGTGCATTTCTTCTCTCACTGACACCTGGGGCTGATAAGGAGGAGCTTCAGTTATTTCTTTAAGAAGTTTCTCAAAACCAGCATCAAAAGCACTCTCAGTTATTAATGGAGCCTCAGCCTTTTCTACTGTTTCTTTTAATTCCTCAGGATGGAATTCAGAAGTGGCTTGCCTGGGCTCCTTTGTACTACCTATTAACTTTGATGCAGAAAGATTCCCTGTATCGCTTTCATATTTTAAGGGGAAGGTTTCAGTTGCTTCCTTCAGTAGTTTTTCTAAGCCAGCACTGAATTCGAGGAACTCTGATTTGGGTTGAATAATTGTTTCCCTCACAATTTCTTCCACTTCCTGAGGTAGGCCTTTGCCATATTGAGCAACAGTGGAACCAAATGAGCTAAGTGTCTGGTCTGATAGAAACATTTGGGCAGCTAAATAAGATCCAAGTTCATGAGTTTTATCAGGAACTACATTGGAGGAATAAAAATCCTTCCTGTCTGGAACTATGGTGTCCATCATAGCCCATGGTGATATCACTCCTGGCGGATTTAGGGGGCTACCTAATGCCTGTACTGCTTCAGGAAATTCTGGGTTCACTTCTCCAGGACGTACTTCCCTTCCAGCTGGATAACTTAACCATACTTCTCTATGCAGCTTCTGTAATGCAGCATTTACATCATTCAACACAGGTCTGGGTGGAAGAACGACTTTCTCTACAGTCTCTGAAATTTCCGTTTGAGAAGGGTGTGCCCTAGCCTGGGGAACAAGATGAGCATCTTGGGGAAAAAGCATATCGTGGGGAGGGTTGGCCACATCCCCAAAAGAACCCTTTCTGGAAAGCTGGGAAGGTGGATCCAATGGATAAGAATCTTCTGCAGCCATCTGAATCAAATTCTCTGTGTTTAGCTGGCACTCACCACTTTCAGCTTTCTTGGGGACAGCTGTATTTCCAAAAGTTTCATCTCTCTCTGGAAAAGGAGCTAGTATTTCTCTCTTATCAGCTGAAGTATTGTGACTCTGTTCTATCCCTTTTCCAAAAAATCTTCCTTCTTCCGGCTTAGAGTTGGTTCCAGTGATAACGGGCGCCAACTTGGTTTGCAAGCGAGAGGATGAAGTTCCAGTTGCTTCCTTCAGGAGTTTGTCTAGACTAGCAGTCAAAGAGTTCCGTTTAACCTTTGGAGGAACTACTGTTTTGTCAACATGCTCATTAATGATTTTCTCAGGTCCTTTGACTTCTTCCTCGGTATCAGCAAAATCTGTTTTTTGACGCCATGTCCTATTTTCAGAAACACTTGGCTCAAGCACTTGTTTTCCATGAACTTTTCCACCAGAGGGTTGAATTGCTGGTGTTGAGGCTTCTGAAAGCAGTTTCTGCAAGCTGTCATTAAAAGTGTCTTTGTAGTCTTTAGACAAAACATTGGTTTTTACTATGGATTCTTGAATCTCTTGGTCTGAGTAATCCTTTTCTTCCTTAAACACTGGAGTAACAATCCCTTCCATATTCTTTTCCATGTATTCCTTTGATGACTCATTTCCTCGCAACTGATGAGTATACTTTCTAAGCGGACTCAAAGGAAATGTGGTTTCATCTGGTAGCACCTGGAGTATGCCCTTTGAATTTAATTTCTCCATTTCCTCTCTTCCCATAACTTTTTTTGGGCTTAGAAGCACCTCTGCTTCATGAGTATTTTTACCTGATAATTTAATGTCACTTAATTCCTTGTGTTTCTGCCTATTAAAAGGTGCAGAACTTTTTTGGCTTGCTGTGGTAATATTCTTGTCATTATTCTTACTGTTTAAATTAGCTTCTAAGTCCCAAAACTTTCTCAAATTCTCAAACTGAGAGGGATTATAGACCTGTTCCACATTGGGTTCATCCATTCTTTCTTTTAGGGACATAACTTTGAAGTTGGCATTTGATTCACGAACTAGAGGTCTGTCTTTCTCCAAAGGAACATGTCGTTCACTCCCAACATTTGAGGGACGTTGCAGTGCTGGTAAAGTAAGGTTTCTTCTAGAAGGCAAACTGTCTGCCACTGGTGATCTTTTTATAGGCTCATTTTTCTTATTCTGAAACAGAGACACTTTATCTGATTCCTCAGCTGAAAGATAGTTTCTGGATGGATCTGATATTTGTGGCTTGGTCTCTTTAGATTTATTTGAGGAATAAGAATTGGAGAGCTGGGATGCTTGATCATCCTCATCTAGGACCACTCGTTTGGGAATGACCTGATTATATTCACTCTGGTCTGTAGATAAACTGTCCATAGATGATACACCCTGTGACTTCTGCACAGGCTGATATGCTTTAGCAGAAGGTTGTTCCTGGCTACATGAAGATGTGGGTTCTTTATGAGTTATCTTAGCAGCAGCTTTCTCTCCTTCCCAAAAGGATATTCTGTCACTCACTCTTTTGTATTTCTCTCTCTGCACTTGGTTCTTGGGAACCTCATCAGCTTCTTGCTGGAGATGGACCTCAGGCTTCTTCCAAGGAGAGCCGTTGTTGGCAACCCCAGGTGTTGACTTAATATTCTCTGGCTCTAAGGAAGCTTTCAGGATATAGGTATTTCCTCCTTTGCTCTTTCTCTCTGCTTTCATGTTATCTTTCAAACCTGGTTCTTTGACAATTGTTGAAGAGTCAAAATGCACTTCTGAGTGTCCTCTATTTTCTTCATGAGCATGAAACTTGGGTTCTTCTTCACCCAAGTTGCCAATATTATTAGTGTTGCATGGAACTTGGTTTTCTGCATCAGATTCCTTGCGAATATTGTAGGAATAGTTCCTTTTTGGAGGAGATAACCCGTTCCCTTTTCCTACGCTTTTTGAATCTTGGCTATAGTCCATATTTTTGCTCCTTTGACTTGGGGTGCCATAGCTTTCAAATGGCAATATACATGGGCCTTCCTTTGGGGCACCTTGTTGGGACAAATTCATGAATTTGGATTTGATGTTCACATTAGCATCTTGGCAACTTTCAGAAACCAGCATATCTCCCTCTACTTGGAATGTTGAATCAGATCTCACAGGCTTCGATTCAATTTTGCTGGATGATAGGTTCTTCGAGCCATTTTCTTTTAAAGTAGTGTCATCTGTCACCAAGTCAATAGCAACCTGTGATTTTGAGTCTGTTTTTTCTTTGGACTCTATTCCTCGGGGATGTTGGAGGAATGACTTATTGTCATCTGAATAAGAACTTCGGTTAAACCAGTCTAGAACTTTAAATATGGAATCATCAGTTGACTTCTGTATCTCAGTGGCATATGGACTAGAACGTGAAGATGTCTTAGCTTTTAGAGCCGGGACAGGAGGGGGCTTACCTTGCTGATGGTCTCTAGAACTGCCACCTGGCACCTGAGACGGCTCAGGCTCAACACAATGAGACAGTTCATCTGCAACATAGAAATACTTTTCTAAATAAGAAAAGAGCATGCTTAAAGAACTGTTAATCATTCACATCATCTTTATAAAAGCACTTTGTATTTGCACTTTCTATACCAATGGCTGTTTATAACAGCATTTTTCAGGGGTTAAAATGTAAGTTGTCCTAATTAAGGTATTCTACCAAAGGTGCCCTATGATAGTAAAGGAAAGGAATTGTAGAAACCAGGAAGTACAGGGTACGGACCTAACTGAAAAATTTCTTTGAAGTTCCTGGTTTATTTTAAAAATACATGTTAATTTTGCATTCTGTGTCATGTTACATTTTATTTTATTATTATTTTTTGAGATGGAGTCTTACTCTGCTGCCTAGGCCAGAGTGCAGTGGCAGGATCTCGGCTCACTGCAACTTCCTCCTCCCAGGTTCAAGCGATTCTTCTGCCTCAGCCTCCCAAATAACTGGGATTACCGACACACACCACCAGTCCCAGCTAATTTTTGTATTTTTAGTAGAGACAGGGTTTCACCATATTGGCCAGGTTGGTCTCGAACTCCTGACCTCGTGATCCGTCCACCTCAGCCTCCCAAAGTGCTGGGATTACAGTCGTGAGCCACTACACCCAGCTCCATGTTACATTTTAAATGTTAATTTTCTCTTACTCTTAAATCTTTGTATAAAACTAACACTCCAGGAAGATACGCCATGCCGATTTTATGACTTCACCCATCCCCTGGCACATATCATAAACCCTGGAGGAGGCCTAAATTCAGGTTTGAGAAGCACAGACTTAAGTGATTTCAGGAGTTAGAAAAAGAACTTTTAAATAAGACTAAACAAGGAATTTTATCCACAATATTTAAATGGGACAATGAGGATATTTCCATTCCTGTGTATTGAATGAGAAGAATTTCTGGAGATTGGGCACAGTAATCTTTACTAACAGCTATTCTAGTGACTGTTTTCCATACTGGAGTTTAAGAACTGTGTTTTCAAACCAACAAAGATCAAAAAGACAAAGACGGGCATTACATAATGGTAAAGGAATCAACGTAACAAGGAGTGCTAACTATCCTAAATATATATGCATCCGATACAGGAGCACCCAGATTCATAAAGCAAGTTCTTAGAGACCTACAAAGAGACTTAGACTCCCACACAATAATAGTGGGAGACTTTAACACCCCACTGTAATACAGAAAATTAACAAGGATATTCAGGATTTGAACTAAGCTCTGGACCAAGTGGACCTAATAGACATCTACAGAACTCTCCACCCCAAATCAACGGAATACACATTCTTCTCAGTACCACATCACACTTATTCTAAAATTGACCACGTAATTGGAAGTAAAACAGTCCTCAGCAAATGCAAAAGAATGGAAATCATAACAAATAGTCTCTCAGGCCACAGTGCAATCAAATTAGAACTCAGGATTAAGAAACTCACTCTAAACAGCACAACTAAATGGAGACTGAACAACTTGCTCCTGAATGACTAATGGGTAAACAACGAAATGAAGGCAGAAATAAATAAGTTCTTTGAAACCAATGAGAATAAAGACACAGCATTCCTGAATCTCTGGGACACAGCTAACGCAGTGTTTAGAGGGAAATTTATAGCACTAAATGCCCACAAGAGAAAGCGGGAAAGATCTAAAATCGACACCCTAACATCACAATTAGAATAACTGGAAAAGCAAGAGCAAACAAATTCAAAAGCTAGCAGAAGACAAGAAATAACTAAAATCAGAACAGAACCGAAGGAGCTAGAGACAAGAAAAACCCTTCAAAAAATCAATGAATCCAGGAGCAGGTTCAGGTTTTTTGAAAAGATCGACAAAATAGATAGACCATTAGCCAGACTAATAAGAAAAGAGAGAAGAATCAAATAGACACAATAAAAAATGATAAAGGGGATATCACCACTGGTCCCACAGAAACACAAACCACCATCAGAGAATACTATAAACACTTCTATGCAAATAAACTAGAAAATCTAGAAGAAATGGATAAATTCCTGGGCACGCACACCCTCCCAAGACTAAACCAGGAAGACATTGAATCCCTGGATAGACCAATAACAAGTTCAGAAATGGAAGCAGCAATTAACAGCCTACCAACCAACAAAAGCCCAGGACCAGATGGATTCACAGCTGAATTCTACCAGAGGTATAAAGAGAAACTGGTACCATTCCTTCCGAAACTATCCCAAAAAATAGAAAAAGAGGGACTCCTCCCTAATTCATTTTGTGACGCCAACATCAACCTGATACCAAAACCTAGTAGAGACAACACAAAAAAAGAAAATTTCAGACCAATATCCCTGACAAACATTGATGCAAAAATTCTCAATAAAATACTGGAAAACTGAATCTAGCAGCATATCAAAAAGCTTATCCACCATGATCAAGTGGGCTTCATCTCTGGGACGCAAGGCTGGTTCAACATACACAAATCAATAAACGTAATCCAGCATATAAACAGAACCACAGACAAAAACCACATGATTATCTCAATAGATGCAGAAAAGGCCTTCGAAAAAATTCAACAGCGCTTCTTGCTAAAAACTCCCAATAAACTAGTTATCAGTGGAATGTATCTCAAAATAATAAAAGCTATTTATGACAAACCCATAGCCAATATCACACTGAATGGGCAAAAGCTGGAAGCATTCTCTTTGAAAGCCGGCACAAGACAAGGATGTCCTATCTCACCACTCCTATTCAACATAGTATTGGAAGTTCTGGCCAGGACAGTCAGGCAAGAGAAAGAAATAAACGGTATTCAAAGAGGAAGAGAGGATGTCAAATTGTCTCTTTTTGCAGATGACATGATTGTATATTTAGAAAACCTCATTGTCTCAGCCCAAAATCTCCTTAAGCTGATAAGCAACTTCAGCAAAGTCTCAGGATACCAAATCAATGTGCACAAAACACAAGCATTCCTATATACCAATAATAGAGAGCCAAATCGTGAGTGAACTCCCATTCACAATTGCTACAAAGAGAATAAAATACTTAAGAATACAATTTACAAGGGATGTGAAGGAGCTCTTCAAGGAGAACTACAAACCACTGCTCAAGTTATTAAGAGAGGACACAAACAAATGGAAAAACATTCCATGCCCATGGATAGGAAGAATCAATATCATGAAAATGGCCATACTGCCCAAAGTAATTTATAGATTCAATGCTATCCCCATCAAGCTACCACTGACTTTCATCACAGAATTAGGAAAAACTTTAAATTTCATATGGAACCAAAAAAGAGGTTGCATAGCCAACACATTCCTAAGCAAAAAGAACAAAGCTGCAGGCATCATGCTACCTGACTTCAAACAATACTACAAGGCTACTGTAACCAAAACAGCATGGTACTGGTACCAAAACAGAGATATAGACCAATGGGACAGAAAAGAGGTCTCAGAAATAATTTCACACATCTGCAACCATCTGACCTTTGACAAACCTGACAAAAACAAGCAATGGGGGAAAGGATTCCCTATTTAATAAATGGTGTTGGGAAAACTGGCTAGCCATATGCAGAAAACTGACACTGGATCCCTTCCTTACACCTTATACAAAAATTAACTTAAGATGGATTAAAGACTTAAACATAAGGCCTAAAACCATAAAAACCCTAGAAGAAAACCTAGGCAGTACCACTTAGGATATAGGCATAGGCAAACACTTCATGACTAAAACACCAAAAGCAATGGCAACAAAAGTCAAAACTGACAAACAGGATCTAATTAAATTAAAGCGCTTCTGCACAGCAAAAGAAACTATCATCAGAGTGAACAGGCAACCTACAGAATGGGAGAAAATTTTTGCAATCTATCCATCTGACAAAGGGCTAATATCAGAATCTACAAGGAACTTTTTTTTTTTTTTTTTTTTTTTTTTTGAGACGGACTCTCGCGCTGTGTCACCCAGGCTGGAGTGCAGTGGCGCGATCTCAGCTCACTGCAAGCTCCGCCTCCCAGGTTCACGCCATTCTCCTGCCTCAGCCTCCGAGTAGCTGGGACTACAGGCGCCCGCCACCACGCCCGGCTAGTTTTTTGTATTTTTAGTAGAGACGGGGTTTCACCATGTTAGCCAGGATGGGATCTACAAGGAACTTAAACAAATTTACAAGAAAAAAAACAACCCCATCGAAAAGTAGGCGAAGGATATGAACAGACACTTCTCAAAAGAAGACATTTATGTGGCCAACAAAGATGATAAAAAGCTCATTATTACTGATCATTACAGAAATGCAAATCAAAACCACAATGAGATACCATCTCATGCCAGTTAGAATGGCAATCATTAAAAAGTCAGAAAACAACCGATGCTGGAGAGGATGTGGAGAAATAGGAACACTTTTACATTGTTGGTGGGAGTGTAAATTAGTTCAACCATTGTGGAAGACAGTGTGGTGATTCCTCAAGGATCTAGAACCAGAAATACCATTTGACCAAGCAATCCCATTACTAGGTATATACCTAAAGTCTTATAAATCATTCACCTATAAAGACACATGCACATGTTTGTTTACTGCAGCACTGTTCACAATAGTAGAGACTTGGAACCAACCTAAATGTCTATCAAAGTTAGACTGGAAAAAGAAAATGTGGTACATATACAGCATGGAATACTATGCCGCCACAAAAAAGGATGAGTTCATGTCCTTTGCAGGGACATGGATGAAGCTGGAAACCATCATTCTCAGCAAACTATCACAAGATCAGAAAACCAAACACCACATGTTCTCACTCATAAGTGGGAGTTCACCAATGAGAACACACGGACACAAGAAGGGAAACATCACACACCAGGGCCTGTTGGGATGTGGGGGGGTAGGGGAGGGACTGCATTAGGAGAAATACCTAATGTAGGTGATGGGTTGATGGGTGCAGCAAACCACCATGGCACGTGTATACCTTGTAACAAACCTGCACGTTCTTCACATGTATCCCAGAACTTAAAGTATATTTTTAAAAAACTTTAAAAAAACCAAATTTGATTGTTGCTATTGTGAATTATCCTGACTATAAAGAAACTATCATAGGGTCGGATGCAGGCTTATTAAAGATGGCAGAGGGTACACAGCATGGCTTTTTCTATTGTTTCTGTTTTTCTAAAAAAACATAAGAAATTATGATCATAAAACATTATGATTACTTCATGATCATATAGGTGTAAAAGTAGTTTGAGTCATCCCCTGAGAGTGGTAAGACCTTCAAGACAAGGCTACTTAGCAGGGAAAAGCAGTACCCTCTTTGCCTCTCAACTCATACCAGCTGAAAGAGAAAGTGCCTTCAGAGCTTTTAAAGCCTAAGAACAAATGGCTGGAGGCCTGAGCAGGCCAAAGTCTGACACTTTTGCATAGTAAGGCCTCAAAGTCTAGTTTCCCAACCTTTGACACTAAGAAAGTGAAGGTTCTCTTGAGATTACAAAAGAAACCAAAGTTTGCTAAAATTGTAATTACTAAATTTGCATTAGGTGAGTAATAATATATTTACCCTGTACCAAGGTACTAGCTAATGATAGTAATTCTTTCTTACTCTATTCCACCTTGATTTAACTAAAAACATTGTCATTTGTTTAAATAATTGATATGGTTATATATATATTAGGGTAAAGCATAATGGGCCAGAAACTGTGCTATCCTGGTTACTTTTAGTTATTGGTGATTGAGAAATAAACAAGAGGCATAAACATTTCCAGTGGCATCTGTCTGAACTGTAGATGGAATGCCTAGAAGGTTAAATTGGGCTTCTACAGGACTAGCTGGCCTGGGCATTCCAAGCCCACCGAGTTTTTATAATCTAGTAGTGACAACTCTCTTACCAGCAGGGCTTCTGGGTAATACAGATTCAAGTCTTGTTAATTCTGATGATTTATCTTTGTGTTCATTGATGGTTGGTGAATTCTCCATGGACTGTGGTCTTGCAGCTAAAACTTCTGAATGAGAATGGAGCCCATTAATTAGAAAAGAACCAGAAGTCACTGGCTGATGTGTTTCACTTTTTGATACATTTGGGCTTGAGGCTGACTGATGAAAAAGCAAAGACCTTCCGTATTGAGAAGGCTTAGGGTCACTCTGAAACTCCTCTGTGTCCCCTGCATCTTCTGTTGCATTTTTCAACCTGTCAGATTCTAAAACACTAAATTCTCCTACTTCCTGGCCATGGATTAGCCCAGGACTCTGTGGAAGCTCATCCTTCACTGCAGAGAATCTCACATGCTTTAATGGCTCCAGGGAGTTTGGGGAAGAGCTGTCTTCTAAAGAATGCTCCTTCTCAGAAATTCTCTCATGGATGGTTAGGCCAGGTGACACAATTTTGCTTTTGGGTTCAAAGCTGTGATTATAACGAAGGGTTTCTGAGTCTGTGCTACTGGAACTGGAGTTGCGCTTGAGGATTCCTCTCGGAGCCCCTCTCGCTTTCAGGGAGTCTGTCCTTTGTCTAGGAAAAGACTGGTTATCATCTTTGTTTAAATCAGTTGATTTGTAGATCATCTTCCTGGCTTTGGGGATTGGAGCCTTGATTTGGGACCCATTTGAAAGGCCTGGCACAGTCTGCTTTGATTTCTCTAACTTTTGGATTGAAGTATCTGTGACAGCTGACTTTTCTTTTGATTCTGACAATTCATCTGAAAATTAAAACACAGTGAGTGATATATCATATGGAGAGTAATACATAATTTAAAATACCTGTCATAAACTTAACCTACGCTTAGTAAAACTATTAAAATATTAAAAACAGTACAGTAGGTAGCATAAGTAGAGGCCTAATGTGAAAAGCCTTTAAAAATTCATGTATTGGAGCACAGAGGACTTTTAAGGCACTGAAACTACTCTATGATACTACAATGGTGGCCACACACTATTACACATTTGTCAAAACCCACAGAATGTACAACGCTAAGAGTGAACGCCGATGTAAATGATGTGCTTTGGGTAATAGTGATGTCTCAGTGTGGTTCATCAGTTGTAACAAATGCACCATTCTCATGGGGAATGTTGATAATGAGGGAGGTTATGCCTGTGTAGGGAGAGGGTGTATATGGAAAATGTCTGTATCTTTTGCTCAATATTGTGAACCTAAAACTGCTCTAAAAAATAACGTCTATTCGAAAAATCATGTATAAACTTCATTGCACTGTACATTTAAGATTACTGTGCTTTATACAGTTTGTGATATTTTACACCCAATACAGAAAGTTTTTTTAGGAATGAAAAGAAAATTTCTCCAAAGAGGCTTAAAGAAAAACATAGAAGTCACTTAAATTCACCTGCAGAAATCAGAAAAGAAAAGGAAATTCAATTAAAATAAAAATAAAACCCCATTACCTAAAACAAAATTTATTTTTGTCAAAAAGTTAAAAACAGGCCAAGCACAGTGGCTCACACCTGTAATCCCAGCACATTGGGAAGCCAAGATGGGTGGATCACTTGAGTCCAGGAGTTTGAGACCAGCCTGGCCAAAAGGGTGAAACCTCATCTCTGCTAAAAATACAAAAATTAGGCAGGCATGATAGCGCAAGCCTGTAGTCCCAGCTACTCAGGAGGCTGAGGCACAAGAAGCCCTTGAACCCGGGAGGCAGAGGTTGCAGTGAGCGGAGATTGCACCACTGCACTCCAGCCTGGGCAACAGAGTGGGACTCCATTGCCAAAAAAAAAAAAAAAAAAAAAGTTAAAAATAAACATCTAACATGTTCCAGTGATTTTTTTTCTATAAAATATTTTATGTAATACAAAACGTGCCCAATGGAAAGTATATTAATATTCAAACATGCTAGTTGAAAACCCCAGCTCCACTGTTCGTTAATTCTCTACCCCTAACCACTCTTTAATGCTTGTGGAATCTTCTTCAAGTTGCTTTTGAGGAGACTTGAAATGTTTAGCATTTCCTCTTAACGGTATGCAAAAATGATAATATTCCATAGCAGGCTGACTTACATCAACTAAGCCACAAACATGATCAAACGCTGGTGGGCTGCTGGGCTGAGAATTACAGATTAGAGGATCATAACATTGTCAACAGGCTTTTTCTTCTTGAGGCAAGCCCTTTTAAAAGAACTTTGTGGGCACACAGTAGGCATCCAATAAATACTGTTAAGTGGAAGACTGAATGTCTTGGGTGAAAAAATCTCCCAATTTACTGATGAGGGTATCCAAGACACGATGGAGGTCACATAACAAGTCGCAGTTCTGAGACTGGAATGTGTGAGCTATCAGTTTCTAAAATTTCTGCTTCCTCTCCCTCAGGAAGGAAACCAACAAGCATAGTAAAATAAGAAAACCATCAGGACTTTTCACTTTCTCTTGGAAGTTATTTGAGTGAAAGGAACTCTGAGAATTTCCCTTTGTCCACAGATAACAAAGATAAAAATATCAAGTTCATAAAAATATTTACCCTCTTCTGAATTCTGAAATAAACCAGTTCTTCCATTTTTTGACTGTTCATTTTTAGTTTGTTGTGACGAGTGACCTTCTGGCAACTTGGAGCTATTAAATGGATTCTTCCTCTGCTGGGGACAAATATTATTTATTAAACTTATTTTAAATGTCATGACAGCAACACAGTGTTGGCAAATGCCTATTATCTTCAGTTTTGATAGTTTTATCCCATAAACTCCATTATTTGGCATGTTTGAAAAACAGTTGTCCTGATTAATCTGCTTAGCACAGAATTACCATATATGCCATATAAAAATTATATAAAATATATGCAAACCCAGAGTCCTACAAAGTGAGCTCAGAATCAGGCACTTAAATCAAAATCCCACATTTTACAGGTGAAAAAACTTGGCCCTGGATATAGCAAAGACCAGATCAAGGTCAAAGGAAACTTGGGTCTGTAATCAGGTCAGAGTCCCACCAGTGCTTCTTCTACCACGCCAGACTCTCAGTCTGCTAGATCACAGCTATACAAAATACAACTGTAATTGACCTTTCCTAAAGATTTCGAAGACATTTTAGGTATCTTGAAGTGTTTCACAGTCATTATTATTATCATCAATTCTAATGATAAAAATGGTATCAATAGAGGTTTTAAAAATTAATATAGGACTCAATAGCAATGTTTACTGTCTATAGTTTAATAAATTAGCAATTCTCTCCCAGAAGCAGCTCTCTAACAGAGATTTAAGAAGCTATGCATAGGAATATAGGAATAAGGACTGACATGGAACTAACAAGCCTTATTCCAAATGCTAAAAAGCAGCAGCAGCACCAAATAGCTTCAGACTTTTTACCCTTTAGGGCAAGAAATCTGGGTCTTCAGCAATGCAGTGACCAATCCACTTTTTCCACCACGAGAGTGACTTCTTAAACTAAATAGTAAAAATTACCTGTGTTTGGTACCAAAAAACTGTTCTACAAAATTCTCTTTGTGGTGCTTTGACACAATGAGGAAAAATGGCATTCCTAACAAATATGAGATTTTCAAAATCTGGGCTCAATCTACCTTCTCTGGAGACACATTTGGTTTCTTTGTGTTTTCCTGGGACATATCAATCACAGTGGAAGCTGGATTTACCACACTGGAACTGTAAAAGAAACAATAATTCAAAGAATAAAACCTCACCTTTTGAGGAATCATAAATTATGCCTCTGAAGAGGAAAGCTATCAGCAGGCTAGGAGAAGAAGCTGGTGCGGAGGAAGAAGAAGGATTCTTTAGAGAATGATTCCCTATCCCAGGGACAGGACAGCGCCAGAGTGACGGTAAGGCAAGAGTGAGTGGAGACAAGTGAGGTGGGCAGGCTCCCTCCAGAACCACCACGCCCTTGGCTATTGAGAAGGGTAAAAGAGGGTCATGGAGGCCCTGGCTGTGGAGAGGAACTTCCTGCTCCAGTGGCCTTGCCTCAGGCACAGGAGGTGAAGTCGCTACTGGCTGAAGCCTTCGTGTCCTGTTACCACCACCAGTTCTCTCAGTGGCATCACAGAGTCAGGAGCTGGGAAAATACCTTAGTTTGTGGAAGTTGGGGGAAGATTCCTGCTTTTCCCCACGAAGCAAGGAACCAAAGTCCTGGAGAGGAGAGGAGCAATTTGCCCCCAAGGCCACAGAACCTCAACCAAGATTATTGTCACTAAAACCATGGGCTAGATGTTCCTGCAGCCTCATTTCTTTTCTTTATCTCTGTACTTCAATTGCTATTTTTACACAATTACTCCCAAGGAACGGTTGAGCTCTTGAGGAAGTCATTCTTCCTTTCATTACTCTCCTCATTGTTCCAGAAAGGGATTATAGCAGATGAGCAGAAGGATATAAAATACAACCTGATTACATAGAGGCAAGAAAGGGGGAAATAGAGGATAGGAGGGAAAGGGGAGGGAACAGAATAGGAATGTATAATGGACCCAGAATTAAGGCTAATAGACACATTACAGGAGTCCTTCATTCCTGTAACAGGTGTGCACAAACTTGAATCAAGCTATCTAGCAACAGAAGTGAAAAAAGAAACCTAGTCACTGATATAATTCAGTCTCTGTACAATAAAAACAACCAATAGCTCAGAATCAGAAAGCAATTTCTCTTGAGTGTCATTTTTAGAAGCCAGTGGGTGATATGAGGAACAACATCCCTATCGCCGATGCTATGCTCAGTTTCTCAGAGTGTTCTGCATAATCTTCCTTAGTAAATAAAGCAGTCACATAATCAGAAGACCTGAGCCAAGTGCTGATGGTTGGGGGTCTCTACGGCACACCCATCTTTTCCCACCATCTTTCTCCATTCCCCTTCCCACTCACCAAGCCCAAAGGATAAGCAGAGTGTCTATATCCTTCTCCCTCTGCTCCCTGGAATTCCAGTTCCTGTGCCTCCAGGCCACCAGCCTCAACAGCCCATATTGCATATCATGTAGTCCCTACCTCCTAGAGATGAGGTCTCTCCCTTACTGAGCTGTATCTAGCTATGCATTTCATGTCTACTATGTAACCTCTTCTGTGTATACATATCTTACCTCGCATAGTAAAGTGGGAGATCCCTCAAGAGTATCTCAAACATCTTTCTATCCCCTGCAGTGCCTTGCACAGTGCCTGGTACATAACTGGTGAATGGCTAAATAAATGAGGGCCAACTGAGCCAGTGCCAGGAGAAGCAGCCACAGATAGTAGGCAGGAGGCTGGCTTTTTTTTTTTTTTAATCCACATTATTTGCCAAACTATAACGAGGCAGATTATTTAGGTATTAAACAAAATGCCTGTTTCTGCTATTCAGAAAGAAAAAGAGAGGAAGAAACAAAACAGTCAGAACACATGGTCAGACACTAAAATACTAGAAACACACAGGAAATACTGGGTTACCTTGTGGTTGGGATAGGGACAAGTTGGGATGAGGGTGGGATACTCAGTTAAAGTTTACAGTCTGCTTAATAGGAAAAAATTAAAACAAGAGTCTTATTGCCTCAAATTTTGTCTGAAAATGCAGCTACTTCCTAGTAGCTTTGTTTCTCTCAAGGGATACTATAATGTTTTGCTTGTCTGTCTTTTATTGGGCAATCAGTACCGCAACCATCTTATTCTCAATTGATCTTTGCATCATCTCTCTGAGTTATCTATCATTCTCTCCATCTCACTTATGAAAAAACTGAGGTTCACAGAGGTTAAGTAACCTGCTTGATGTCACAAAATTGGGAAAAGAGCTGGGGATTTGAACTCAGGTGTGTCTGACTCCAAAGACAATCATGGTAATGGTTAGGCTATACTGCCTCTGGTTTCTTGCATTAAAGCAGTGGTTTGTGGCAACAGGACTGGAGACAAGTCTGGGTGATTCTTCCCTCCTGGGGACTCCCACATCTGCTTCTTCTTTTCTACCTCTACTGACACCTCCTTTATTTGTGTCAACCCTATTGGCCTGACATCTAGCTTCCTGACTCCCAAGTTCTACTCTCCTAAACCATTCTACATTCTACCACTATGCTGGGATGGTCCAAAATGCAACTTTGATGGTGTCTTTCTTCTGTTCCTTACCTTTGCGGGATCCTCAAGACCTGTGGAATGAAGTCTGAACTCCTTGGCAAGGTACTGGAGACCATCCACCATCTGCCCCAATATACTTTTCTATTCTTCCTTTCTGTTCACCCTTCATGCCAAACAAAATGGTCAATCTACTTACTGCCTCAGAAACTCACCTGACTCGGCTATTTCCACTTAACCTATTCCCCAGTCCCTCCTTTTTTGCAAAAAGCAAAAAAAGTGTTTTCTTTTTGCTTTCTTTGTCTACCCAAATCATCCCTATACTCTTCATGTGCAGTCCAAATCTTACCTTTTGTATCAACCAGGCTAGGAGTACGTCTCTCTTGCCTCAATTATTGCGGCACATTTTATTGGTACTTTGAATTAGGAATTTCCTTTCTTCCTGGCACTATTTGCTATCATGTGGTCAGATTTTCATAAATAGTTGTATTATTTTTCCTAAGAGAATACAGAATAGAGCCAGATACTGTGTCTTCTGTTTCTTAGAATTCCTCTCAGAGGGTAGTAGACTGTGTCCTGAATATAAAAGATACTCAATACATTCCACATGATAAGATTTTTAAACTATGAAGCAAGCCAAATTCCACACCCTGTGTTCTGTAACTTTCTTCCCTCAGGCACTCTTCAAAAAAGGATCTGCAACATTAAAAGCAGCACTAAGACAGAATTAGTTTACTTTGTTAAGGGTGCCCCTCCTAAAAGCATCTTCATTCTAATACAAGTCTTTGAAATCTTAACTAAAAAGAATAAATAACATCAGGTACTGTGGAAGGGCCACTGGGGGAAGAAGTTTTACAGCTGTCTTAAAATTATACCACACAGGCAGCTGCCTGCTATATCCAGCCACAAAGTGCTTCTATGCACGTGCAGTCATTTAAAAAAATTTTTTTAACCTTCACCATTCTCTCTAAAACAGTTAAAAATAATAGCAGATATGCCTTTTTCTGAGGTTTTCTCTTTTAGCTTAAATGTTGTTTATAGAACCAGAAACAAATTTTGCAAGTGTTGTTGACTTGTTTTTTGTTGTTTTGATCTCTCCCTTTGTACTGTGACTTCCTTGAGGGCTCAAGCTGTGTCTCATCCCCAGCACCCAGAACTGTGCTAGATGTGTTGGCACTTAATGAAGCATGAACAAATGAGCAAACAAATGAAGAGATGGCTCAGGGATGGAATGAGGGAAGCAAATTAGAAAATATCTTATGTGAAGCCCTTCAAGTCAGTATTTCTTTAAGTAAAATATTACTTGTGAGTATACATAGTTCTCCAGTGTTCCCACAGTTCAGGCTACAGAGTTACTGAACGCAGATATAAAAGTATGAGGCATTTTTATGTCACAGTGAAACTATTCCTACTACAACTGATATGAGTAAATCTGAGATCTTATAGGATTAAGAAGAATTATTTTAAGAGCTCAATATAAATGACTTCGTAGGTCAGGCCTCCAAGAAATGAAATCTTCACATTACTAGATTTGCTATCAATCCCAGGAAAAAACATCAGATGCATTATCTCAGATTGGCTCATCTCTACCCTGCCTTTGGGAGCAAGCTAGGTACCTTACACTCATCTTAATACTAGGGGTAAACGCAATAGCTAATCCTTCTGGGAGAGGGAAATTAATATCTACTAAAGACTTTCAGGAAAAAGAGCATTGTGTGGGAAAACTAAGAGCTAAAGATGTGTCTGTAATTGATCGGTTCTTTTCAACAGAGGGTAAGAAGGAGACTGGTGTCAGAAGCATCCCTGAGGCACAGGCAATGAAGCACAAAGACTTACCAAATAGTGTTTTAATTCTACCAAAAACAAAGTTAGGTGTAAATGCAGTTTTGCTTGCAAAGAAATTTATCATTTTCTTGCCATTTTACAGGTAAGTGCCCAGAAGAAAGCCTGTCAATGCCATGGACTGAAATACCACTGTGAAGGGTTTATCTTGTTCTCCCTGAACTCATTTGGGAGACATTCTCTAGAGATGTTTGATTACTAGACATTACAAACCTGTGCAGCAGCCAAGCCCCCTTACAAGCCAAGGAGGGGGCGTGGCCACACAGAGTTTTATAGGTTACCTCCTGCTGTCTAGTTCTCCATCTTGAATGCTCTTCTGTCACAGCTATGCAAATCTGAGAGGGCCCTCAAATTCTCCTCTATTTTTCTATAATCGCCAGGGCTCATGGGGACACTTCTGAAGTGAGAGCTTCTTAGTAAAACCAGAACAGGCCTACTTTGATAGTCAGGAAACATTATACCTCATTTATGGACAGGGTTCTGACCTTCATGGGATGAGTCTTCATTCTGTACTCCCCACCTAGGCTCAGCCATGTCCTGTGGATTACTGTGTACATATTCAACAGTTATTTTCTGTTGTTGGGGGCGCACAATGTGCTATCAGCATATGGTTCATGGACCAGTGCCCATCCATGAACTGTTTGTCACTGGTTCATAATGAGATAAGTACAGAAATGGAGGCTATGTGCTGAAGAACTATTTATAGCAAATATGATCAATGGGCTTATCTTTGCATGCCACTGTTGTTTTCTGTATTTCATTTTTCTAGTATTCATTCTCATTATATTTTACAAAAGATATCAATCTGTGATGATTAGAAATAAAAACTTTAAAATGAAACAAAACTAGTCCTTTACTACAAAGGGTTTATGAAGTGCTGGTCCAACCAACAATGCCCACCTGAAAAGTCTGTAACCAGAACTAGAAATGTGAGCATTCAGGGTTTTCCTTTTGCTACTCCAGAACAAGCCTTATTTTCTTCTCCTCTGCTCATAAACCTCTCTGCTTCCTTGTGCTCCAGGTGCAAACAAAGGTGAGTTCAGAAAGAATGCAGGCAGCTGCCAATGCTTGACTACATGCTGGGTACCCACAGTGTTTTACTTCTTCATGTGTGAAGTAAAATTCTGTGACCCCACAGAATTGTGCCCACAACAGAAAGAAAGATGTTGCAACAGAGCATATTAGCAAAACTCCAGAAACTACAATAACCAGCCTATTACCTTACACTCCCCAACTTCTGACTCCTGGCTAAGAAAATATTGACAGGTACTGAGTCATTCTATTAAAGTTCACTTAGTCTAAAAGTACAGGCCCCAAAATACACTTAACACACCCAGTTCACAAAGGTTAAAGTATAGGTAAGAAACATTGCAGGAACTTGATACTGAGTAAGGTAGTAGTTTCTAATATTGAAAGAAGGAAGTAAAAAATAGCTCATTCTAACTTTCTGGATAATTATCACCCATGGCATGTGTTACAGGATTGGCCTTTAATGAGCAAAGCATCCGGAATACATCTAACATCTTTATTCTTGCCTTCTCAACCATACTTCATCCATGTAATAATAAAAATTTTCTTGCCATGGGAAAATGGCCAATTTTCTTTCTTCCTGAGAAATGCTGAGTGATTCCCATGCCCTGTGTCATTTAATCTCACTATATCCTGGTGAGGCAATTCTGTTCTGATTTACAGATGAGACCTGAAAGACTTGCCTGAAGTCACACAAGGAATGCAGAAAATAATGGAGATGCTAATCTTGAATGCTATGTTACTAGCCTCAAGTTGAGGAAGAGTGGGAAAATACCCACCAGCCTCATGGTTCATGAAGAAAAAGTTAGGCTATGAAGGCAATGGCACCTCTGTCCCTCAGGCCCATTAAGATAGAATAAGTTCCTAGAAGAAGGATGGAAAGTCTGACCCAGATAAAATGGGGCAATGAGCTATTTGTCTCTGATGCTCCCAAATCATCTCCTTTCCCCTTCTGTGGCAACTGCTCCCTCCTCCCTCAGTCGGTCAGTGCTCTAGTGCTCCCCAGTCCCCACCAAAGCCAACTCTTAAGAGCGTCTCTCAGCTCCTTGGTGGTAAATATAAATAACTATGTTCTCTCTCTTTGGGTTTCTTTAACATGGTAATATTTTAGGTCTCATATTTCTTTATGAAGGAAGGCCTTCATTCCATTAGAGAGACTATAGGCAGGTGGCAAGTGGGGAGTCACCCAGGGGAACAGAATAGTGTGTCCTTCACACTCTTTCCTGGGCTTCCTGAAATATCTTGCATGTAGGCAAGAGCTCATGCTTCCATTTCTTGAGCACTTATTACATGCTAATGGCCTGCACTGGGAATTCTATATTCACTAGCTAATTAAATTCTCAGTAATTCTTCTAGAAAACTATTAATATTATTACTCCCATTTTAAAGCTGAGGAAATAAAAGTCCAAGGAGTTAAGTCAGTACTACTGCAAGGTCACATTATCAATTAGTGACTACTATTAAGGTGTTTTATCCCCAGCCAAGATGGCCTCTACAGATACAAAAGAAAATTACAAATAGTCCCAGAGGGGAAACAGTGCAGCCTGCCATTCATGGGAAACAAAATGATCCCCTTTCCAAATGGGAAATAGATAAATAAAGGGTACCCTTAGAGTACCCATAGAGTCGGTATTCCATTATCCACGTGACATATCTTTACTAATATTTGACTTTAAAATTCCTATTGGTACTTATATCATATACCCTCCCTGACACCTATAAACTATGCTAGAAATATCCCCATTCTCAGGTGCTTCAGCCTTGGACCCTGATTCAGTGACATCCCACCAGTAAATTCATCAACTTCATCCCAGTTAGAGACTCCGAGTTGAACTAACTTAATTGAGGAGCTACAGATAAAAGGCAACTGCCCCTCTCACTAAAGGGTAACAACTATGCCCTCAAGGAACAGACACCAATGAGAATATCCTTAAATATCTAAAAACAAATCATTATGGCTCAAAAGGTTTATAGCAAAGTAATCCCACAACTGGCCGCATCTCAGCAAGGATGTACAAATGTACATTTTGATTAGTCAGATAACAACATGCAGGAAAAACACCAAAAAACCCCAGGACTATAATATTGAAGATAATCTATATCCTTAAGAGGCATTTACTGAGTATCTATCATGCCAGGTATTCTACATACCTTATCACTAATTCTTACCATAGCTTTTCAGGTATACATTATTGTTCCTAGCCATAGTTAACAGTATAGACTCAGAAAGGTTAAATGTCTTGCCCATAGTCAAATGGCTAATAAACGGCAGATTCAGGAATTGAATTCACATCTGTCTGGTTCTTGTGCTTGAGCTTCTTCCATTGCACTAGGCTGTTACAATCTGATCATAATTTATCTTTTCCCTGAAATGACTTATTCCCCAAAGTCATTTTGAAGTACCTCTTCATTCTACTCTAAGTAGAAATCCATGGGAGAAATAAAAACAGCTCTTGCTGGTGCTGCAAGAAATCACCACTTAACATTTTTATTTTATTTAAGATGTAGATTTGTTGGAAATTCTGAAAGCTGAGAAAGAGTACTACTTGGGCTTCATCTGCATCGGGGCCCAGAATTCTCTCATACACTGCCCCTCCCCCTTGCCTATAACCCCAGTCTGGCATTTGTACTCATAGACTGCCATTCTGCCCATGTGACACCCGAGGCCATGAAAGCTACATGCAGCAGCTCTCCCCCAGAAGCTTTGCCTCACCTTGGGCTTGCTGGTGCTGCATCTTCTTCTGGCTCTTCTACAACGCCAGCCAGCTCTGGAGGAAGTAAAGCATCTTTGTTGACATTATTCACCCAGCTTTCCTTTGTCCCATTTGCTCTGTCTTTACTCTGCTCAGCTGAAACAGGAAACAATAAAGACAGGAAGGTTATCTCTCACCTCCATGACCTACAACTCTCTTATCAGCTCTTATCAGTGAAAGCTTGAACCTGAACCTCAGGCCTTCCCAGTGCCAAGGCAATCACTGGATTTAAGCAGTTGATCAGAATTACATCTAAAAGAGAAGTCAATAAATTCCCACATTAGATTTCCCCAAGCAGAGTCTCCTGAGAGAATGAGCATACCTTTAAATGTGCGAGTAACTCCAGAGACCATTAAAGCAAAATTCTGACTGCCTCTAGGTTAATCTGAACTGAGTTGGGGTCAGGTCTAAATGTGCATGGCCAGGGGATGTTCAGGGCAGGAAGTCCTCAGTGGGATAGAAGCACCATCATTACCAAGCATTTACTGAATAGCTACAATGTGTTGAAATATCTTGTATGTGCTCTAAGATACAAAGGGGAACAAATGATTATGGTCTAGGAATGTCTTCCTCCACTGCCTTCTCCTCCTCCCCATAGTCTCTACAAATCCAAAATTACACACTCTTCAATCCCAGCTCAGATGTCAGAGCCCCCATAAAAATTCTGTGCTCCTGCTTCAGAAAATAAACTCTTTTTGCCTCTGAACATCCAGCACTCACTCTTTACCTGAACATCTCTGATAATTAGCATCAACTGAATGATAACTACCAGGCACAGTGCTGAGTTCTTTGCATGCATTATTCTATGAGGTGAAAGCTATTTTCTAAGTATACAGATTTGAAAATTGAGAATCAAAAAGTTCAAGAAACTTGCCTAAGGCCACAGAGCCAGTAAGTGCCCAGAATACTTTCATCAATAATAAGGGTGAAGCAGTGCTGGAGCTTCCAATTTCTAAATACCCACATTCCAGGACAGTATCCCCCCACAGGTCCTGTTACACATAAGTCTAGTTTCTTCATCTGCAAAATGGGGTCCCCTGGTACTAACCAGTACCCCTCAAGATTTCTGAAGTTCTGGGTGATTTTGAAAAGCAAGGGGGCTGCAAACAATGCCCTGTACATACTAAGCAGTCAGTCTTTATCTGCAAGGAGTATGGCACTAATTCAGAAATACTTTGAAATCCTGGCTCTGCCATTTGCCAATTATGTGATCTCAGGCAAGTTACTTAACTTCTCTGAGCTCCATATGTCCCATGTATAGAATGGGGGAAATAATGCCTACCTTACAGGATTACTGCAACAATCAGAAATAATAGAGATTAAATGTCTATTGTATATTAGATGCTCAAAAGGTGATAGCTATCTTCCTTATTGAGTATAAGGTAGACCTTGACAAGGCTTTACATGGACTAAGCCAGAGTTAGAGAGAAGGCAACCAGTAAGTATTTAATGAACTCAACAGAATTTAAAACAAGCACTCAAAATATTGCCTTCGCCAGGCATGGTGGCTTATGTCTTTAATTGCAGCACTTTGGGAGGGTGAGGCAGGAAGATTGCTTGAGGCCAGTAGTTGGAGACCAGCCTGGCCAAAATAGTAAGACTCTATTAAAAACAAAAAAAAAGACATAAAAATAGTGCCATGATATAAGGAATATGCACTATCATAGTAACCCCCCTGGCCACAGAAACCATGCTACAAGCCCATTTGGGGTGGGATGCTGGCTGCCTTTGCCACTTTTAAATGGGCATTGCCATGATAGTATAAATCCCATCAATTCAGTAGATGGGTGGAGAAGTAAAGATTTCCCCCCAAACCCTTAGGCTAAAGTGGGTTTTTGGTTGGTTGGCATTTTTATTTCCCCCTCTTTTGACTTTCACTTTTAAATGTTACTATTGCAGGCCACAGACATGGCAGGCAATGAGCAGGTGAAGAACCAATGGAAAAGTGTTTTAAAACTCCTGTGTGAGCTCACAGGCTTTTGAATGTATCACTGTGGTTCACAGAGAAGGCTGAAGTAGGTAGCAAGGAGATGCTGCGTCAGCTACTACAGCCTCAAAACAAAGTCGATGTTTCTCTCGACTTTAAAATTGTTCCTATGCAGCTTAATTTATTTTTGTTTAATCATATAAATAAGAATGGTTTTCCATTAAAAAAATGCCTTTACAGTCTCTTAAATAATATACTTGGTTAATTAAGAAAGTACTACCATATGTTAAGATCACTGAACAGAGAGGCTGATATCTTTTTGTCTAAGCCCTTCACTTTACTCGGAAGATTCTGAATCTTCAGAGTTAAAAGCCAAAGAAGAGGTGGTAGATCCCTTACAGGCCCCAGTTATCTATGCTACTGTAATTCAACAGGGCACCTAAAGGGCTTCCTATGTTCCTCTACACCACACTGAGTCACTTAGCTCTGCCCTCATCCATCCAAATCCAAGGCAAGGGAATTTTAAAGTAGAGGGCCACGCATTACGAAAAGCATACATCCAAATGATTTCCATCAGCAGATTTCTGACACCATTCCCTTCTCCCAGCTCTTTCTTCCCAAACGAATGCTGGTTGTAAATGCACTAGCCAAGTCAACTCACCTGCTACCTGGGGCCTCTTCTTTCTCATAGATGCTCTGATGATATCTGCGCCATGGATTTTGTCTCTGTGCCTTTTTGCCTTGGCTTCATAAAACCATTGGCCACTCATATTCTTCAGCTGCTGGTCATCCTTAATTTTTTCGGGCAAATGTCTACAAAAGGAAAAGAGCTTTAGTTTGCTGAGAACCCACAGTAAATAAATGAGCTCATTGTGACACTGCATAAAGACATGTGTAAACATACAGCTAAAATGAAGCTTTAATATTTCAGATGATCCCAAAAACTTCCCAGATGACTAATGCAGGTACGTTCGCCTTTGAAAAGTCAGAGAAGACAAGGCCAACATTTTTTCAAATAAAGGTTTAATCCATGACTCCCATATGATGCCTGAAATTTCTCAAGAGCAGATTCACTTTCTGCCTGCATTCTTCAGTGTCTGCTGTTCAAATGCAAATACCCCAGGGAGGGATAATACTGTAGGCTTCCCTAAGCCTTGGTTTCCTTATCCATAAAAAAGCATTACTAATAGTAACCTTTGGACTTTAAAATTGGGGTTTCTATGAGGTTTAACTAAGTAAATTCATGCAATAGCTCTCTGCATCTCCCTGGCACCTAATAAACACTGGATGGGGTAGTCATTAGCTCATCAGTCCTTTCCATTTTGCATGATATGAGTTTATCAGAGACTTTCCTGGAAGCCTGTGGAGGAGGGGTGGTGCCTCTTATGCTTATTGTTAGGGGAAGGAACCTTTAAAAAGTTGCTGGAATCAGGGAAGACCAAAATTGAGGAGGAGTGTGTACAGGCAAGTTCCATTTGTGCAGATACTGTATTTAAGAGTTTCACAATTATTCATGCTTACTGAAAAACTAAAACCTAAAGAACGAACAAACAAGACAGTCTGCCCTCCTAAAACTTCCCTAAAAACTTTGTTCTAATGGACAAGTCTTAACCTCTCCATCTCTCTATCCATCTCAATAAAATAAAAACATCACAAAATCTCTCTTGTTTGTAGAGATATACTTAGAATAAAGTGGAATAAAAGCTGTAAGGGAACACTATACTCTTGGAAGATAAAGTGCTACATAAATCCAAGAGAGTTTTAAGATAGTCATTCAAACTAATATGCACTCTTCCTCAATTAGCAAATCAAAGTGTTTCAGGCAGAGAATGTGAATGGGCCAAGGTGGTAGCAGCGCTGCATGTAAGGGTTGCACACTGGCACACCTGGGAGTGGGAAAAAGAGGGGGAGCAGTTATCCCAGGTCTAGCAAGAATGTCTCCTCTCTCCCAAGCGTGCCTGGAGAGTGTCCTTCCACCCAGAGTAAACTCTTACAGGAACTTCCTCTCCTTGTCATGACAGCCCATCTACAAACCATGAGAGGGAGAGCATCATCACTTCATAGTTCTCAGTCAGCAATGAGATCATGGCTTTTATTAAATGTTCCTAATGGTTTGACACTGCCTAAGGTTTCCAGCAGAGCAAACAACTGCTGGACTGTTGGCGAACCTTTGCTTTCTCCTCCCAAAAGGACCAAGTTTGAGTTCAGTTGCAGAATGGAGAAGTTCTTCTACTTCTCCCAGGTCAGTGAGTTCCTGGGGGCAGGGTCTGTACTCAATACATCTTTGTTTAGTGTCTGGAAAATAGGGGGTATTTATTCAGTTCTTGAAGAGTGGAGGAATATCAGATGAGGCTCCTGACCACCTAAAAAGGCTTCAGGTTACCTTTTCAGATTCATTTTTCCAACACTCATGCCCATACCCCACTTGCCAGCATGCTCGGCTTCTTACTATTCTCCAATGCTCTTCTGTGACCTCTGTAGATGACAGAGGCAGGAAGTTGTGGCAGAAAGACTCTGGGTTTTCAAGGCTCCCCAAATTACATCCAAATCTCAGTTCCGACCCTTCCTAGATGGGATCTTGGGCAGTTTATCGAACTCCTCTAAGCTTCAGTCTCCTTGTTTTTAAGGATCAGGGAAAATAAGACCTATCCTCCAGGACTTCTGAGATGACTGAGATGTTTAACTGAAAGTACTTAGTACTGCCTAGATCTTGGTACAAGGCCAATTAATGTGAAGTTTCATGGGATGTCTTTCCCTCACTTCTCTGTCCAGCCCGTTGCTCCTCATCCTTCAGATCCAGCTCAAACACTGCCTCACTGGGAAGCCTTCCCTAACTCAGGAGGGCACAGTTATTACAGTTTCTCCTTTTCCATGCTCACACAGCACCTCCACTTCAGCCCTCACTATATCACATTCCAATGATCTGTTTGCACATCTGTTGTACTCACTAATCTGTGGACTTTGCAAATTCCTTGAAGGTGAGGACTATGTCTTAATCACCTTTGTAATGCCAGCACCTAGCACGGAGCCTGGAACAGAGCTGATACCCAATAACTGTTGAGTGAATAAATCAAAGAATAAATAAATGATAAGCAGCCATCCTGTCTGAGTCAGGCAAGAGATCAAGAAGATCCTGTCATGCTGAGATTAAGTGAACCTTAGATCTAGTCAAAATGATGGTGTCTCCTCCGGATGCAGCAGGACATGCTCATCTCTCATCAGAACAGGAAAAAACATCATGAAATGTGGTGTCGGTCAGCATTCTTGTTGAAGGAGGCCACAAACCCTTATAGCAGAACAACACCCAATTTCTTTTCATAAGATTGTTTCTTTTTGTTTTTCAACTAAAATGTACTTTGTGGGGATTCTTGTGCAACTCTTGATCTGTTCCTGCCTAAATGACTGTCTATAAACCCGTGATCAATGCACAATGAGCACAGGTTGTGTGTCAACTCCCTGAAACACATGGCCCCTACAAAGGCTGGTAGCCATTATAGTAAGGATAGGGTTTCTGGCTCACTTGTTTTAAAGTGGCAAAAGAACAGGAGACTCTTTCAAATGTAGTTAAGTGCCACTTACATATTTCCTAACATGACTGTCACTACTAGGTTTAATAATCAACTTCTATTCTATCTTAGTCACTAGTAATATTTTGTAGATAAATCCATATGTATAACATCAAAGTTTAAGTTTTATAAAGATGTAGATTATTTTTAAAATCCCACTATCTAGTGCTGCTGTTAAAATCTTCTCATTTTCGGCTGGGCACGGTGGCTCACGCCTGTAATCCCAGCACTTTGGGAGGCCAAGGTGGGCGGATCATGAGGTCAGGAGATGGAGACTATCCTGGTTTACACGGTGAAACCCCGTCTCTACGAAAAACTTCAAAATATTAGCCGGGCGCGGTGGTGGGCACCTGTAGTCCCAGCTACTCGGGAGGTTGAGGCAGGAGAATGGCATGAACCCGGGAGGCGGAGCTTGCAGTGAGCTGAGATCGTGCCACTGCACTCCAGCCTGGGAGACAGAGCGAGACTCCGTCTCAAAAAAAAAAAAAAAGGCCGGGCGCGGTGGCTCAAGCCTGTAATCCCAGCACTTTGGGAGGCCAAGGTGGGCGGATCATGAGGTCAGGAGATGGAGACTATCCTGGTTTACACGGTGAAACCCCGTCTCTACGAAAAACTTCAAAATATTAGCCGGGCGCGGTGGTGGGCACCTGTAGTCCCAGCTACTCGGGAGGTTGAGGCAGGAGAATGGCATGAACCCGGGAGGCGGAGCTTGCAGTGAGCTGAGATCGTGCCACTGCACTCCAGCCTGGGAGACAGAGCGAGACTCCGTCTCAAAAAAAAAAAAAAAAAAAAAAAAAATTTCTCGTTTTCCAGCCCATGTTCATCTCTCATTTTTTCTGAACTCTAATTACATCAATCAAATGAGCATTTGATTCTCTAATTATTGTACCATCTAGATGAAGAGAGAAACGGGTAAATTTCTTGGGACTGACATTTATCCTTTACCATCCTCTCCACACACACACGTTATGTTTAGCAGAGAATTAAGCAGAGAGAAGATGCTCAGTAAACACCGGTGGGCAGGTGGGCAGAAGTGAGGGCTGAAGAAGAGCACTCAATCCAGAAAGTACACTGGCCTGCTGGCCTCCCAGACAGGATGTCCTGGTCATTCTCTCATTCATTCTCCCATTCCTTCAGCTAGCAAACAGTATCTGCTTTGTGCTGAATCACACATCTGACACTTAACATGCCTCTTATCATTTCATCCTTACAATTTCACCATGTTGTTCAAAGAATTTCACCCATTGCAAAAGATGGCTATTTTACCTCTTCTGTATGCTAAAAGCCATATCTAAGCCCTGTCTGGTTATTTGTTCACTGACTCATTAATTCCCATACCAGTCATCTGCTTGGAATTGGACATTAAAAATTCTAACAACACCCCTAACTGCCAATGTCAACTCCTTTTCATGCCAAGAGTGTGAGCACTTACAAAGGAAAGCCAGAAGAGCAGAAATGCCTTCTGGGCTGGATTCAACACCTTTGCCCTCAGCCTACCCCTTTACTCCTTGTGCTCACTTATGTACACCTCAGCTTCCAGCTACTCAACAGAACTAGCCAAAGCTCGAACATCATCTGCAGGACCTGGTTGATAGTATCTAGTCAACTGTGGACAGCTGCTGGTCAGATAGGTTGACTGGTCCATTCTCCAGCCTTTCTTTTTTCATCTTGCCCAGTATATTCTTAGATAGTTACAAATGGCCTCACTTTCTAGATAAAATGATAGCGGCCCAGAGAAGTTAAGAGGCTTGCCCAAGGTCACACAGAGCTTGCCAGGGAGACAGAAGCCAGCCTGACTCCCAGCCAACACACTTTCTACTACCCAGTCCTGCCTCAGAGAGCCAAACATGATTCTGGTTTCTAAGATGGCTGTCACACTTCACTCTTTCTCCCAAGGAACTCAATCTTTGATGAAGAATCTGAAAACCAACACATGGAAAACAAACTGCAAAACTTCCTTACAGCGGAAAACAAGAAATATACATCTTTTACATGACATATCATAGGTCTCTGCAGTCTGCTGAGAGGCAGCACAGTGTAAGGAAAGTGCACAGGCTTTGACGTTGGATCAGCAAGGCTTCAATCCTGCAGGGCAGTTACCCTCTTCAACCCTATCTCCTCATCTGTTAAGTGGATTCAGCTATACTGTTTTGAAGATGAAACAGGAAAATCCATGTGAAGATCCATGTACAGTCCCTGACAAATATTGGTTCCTTTCCCCCTTGCTTTGACAGAAAAACACCATGAGAGGTCCTGGAAATTAGTTCTTCAATGACAACTGCCTTCATTTAAAAAAAAAGAAAAAGAAAAACAACTAGGTCTAAGGAGGCAGCTGAGAATCATAAGATGTGGTGGCGGTTGAGATCATATCTACTGCAAAAACACCCATCGCCGTAGATGTGGTTGTGTGTATATGGGGGTGGGGGATGCAGTGGTGTACAGACAGACATGAGCAGCAATTTCCTGCTGGCAGTGTGACGCAAAGCACAGGAAATGCCACCTTTTGAGTATGTGATTTTCAAACCATAAAAGACTAAAATTACATATGTGTATGTATGGTTATGTTTCCTTAAAGGTGGGGCAGGGCAGCAAGAGACAAAACACAGGACAGGGGTAGAAGAGAAAGAAAGAATCCACCCTAATGTCTCCTTCACTGCTAGTCTGTGAAATGTCTCCACATGGGAGCTAGGGAAGCAGGCTGTGTAGCGATACATGGTAATAACTGGGTCCAGTACTTATGGCTACAGGTAGTGGAGCAGCATAAAAGACAGTGTGGTAGCAACAGTGATCTGGAACCGTTATCGTCTCAGCTGTACCCCAGAGACACCCCAGTGACTATTTCCTTGGGTACAAGTCCATGTTCTACCATGAACAGACCAAGTGATTTAGGAACTGGATATGTCTCTGTGCAACACTCATTTTTCCTATCCATGAAATCAAGATGGGCGGTAACAAAACCTTTTTTTTAATTAGCTGGATGTGGTAGTACACACGTGTGGTTTTAGCTACTTGGGAGACAGGAGGATCACTTGAGCCCAGGAGTTCAAGGCTGCAGTGAGCTATGATTGCCCCACTGTACTCCAGCCTGGGTGACACAGAGAAAATCTTTTTTAAAGAAATTAAAAATAAATAAAGAGATGGGAAGTAACATATAAACTAAATCATCTCCAAAGTATCTTGAATGAGCTTGGTTGTGAACAAGTCAAAGCACTGGATATATTAGGAATGGCAATATTTCCATTTGAATGCCAGATCTCATCTAGAGCCATACTGAAAAAGATTCTAAAGCGATATCTGGTCTTGTGGGCAACAGTGATGTATCCATTAGTGATGTCCTCGTGGCTACGGGAGAGTTATACTCCAAAGTCTATAAAACATTAGTATTTAAAAGAAAATTCTGAATTTTAGTAATAAAGCTTTTCTAATGATGTTTTGATTGCGTTGATGTAATTATATAATGTGTTTCAAAGCTGAATAACACCTAGGAGGACTGGGGCATTGTAAAGTCATGTTAGGGAAACAAAACTGAGATTTTAAATTTGCAACTGATAATCCATTCAATGGATAAAGGTCATTAGATAGTAAATTCCTTGAGAGCTGGGGCCATGTTTTCAATCACCCTAGAATTCTCTTCATATCATTGTCCAGAGCAGTTCCTTGTACTTCACAGGTGCTCAATTAAGTTCTACTACATTAAATAATTAAGAGTTTTAGGAGTAATTTCCTTCTAAGGAATCAGTCTACTAACTAGAATCTCCTGTCCCTGTCTGGAGGTATAGGTAGAGTGGTGTGAATAAAGGAATTAAAATGAACTATCACATATTATGTGCCAGGAAGATTAAAAATTATTTTTAATTTAATTAACAAATAATAATTATATATATTCATGAGGAAACAGTGATGTTTTGATATACATAACATATAGTGATCAGGTCACTGTAATTTTGTATCTTTTACCAAATCTCTCCCTATCTCTCACTTCCTAAAAATTATTTTACTTAACCCTGACTTTAATCTTTCAAATTTAAATGTAGTATTATGATCATGCCCACTCTGAGTTGAGGCTCAGAGAGGTTAAATAACTTGCCCAGTGAAACACAGTTCATTAGTGGTAGGAATGAGATGCAAACGCATGTCAATTTCATCTCCAGTTCCATGCACCAGAGTTCTTTACGTCATGATGAAAACCTTGCTGTTCCTTTCTGAAAGAATAACAATGATGAGCAGAGTAGAGCAGAGGGAAAAGCACTGGTCCAACAGCTTTTCTCATCACGGCTTTGGCACTGACTTGCTGTGTGGACCTGGGCAAGTTATTTACCCTTTCTGGGCTTTAAAATTCTTTTTCTGTAAAATGACTGATCTGGAACAACAACAACAAAAAAAACTTTCAGAGTTATTAGGCTATAACTCTGGTGGAAGAGGCAAAGACAAATAGCAATGGAATGGAAAAGGCGCTGACAAACAAAAGCCCGTAGAGTAACATTTTCAGAGATCCAGTTCTGGTTCCACCATCCCAGGAGCAGAACCACCTCCAAATCATCCCCACAAGTCCCTTCAGGCCTAAAGCAAAGAGGGGGTCAGGTTATGAGTTGGGTCTTTTTCAAGGTCAACAAGCCATAGGTCTGCCATCTATCTGTGCACTGTCACTGCTCCCCAGCTCCAGGGTCCTGAAACTGCCCATGGCCAAGTCTACATGAGGTGCATGGTGCCTAACTAGAAAGTCTATTGGGAAAGTGATGGTAGGGAGGGTTTGACTCACACCAGGGCTTTCATCAATCCAAACCTTCTTCCTGTCATTTATTCACAAAAGCAAAACACAAAGGCAGCACCAGTGGCAGCCGCTGGGGCACCTTCAGAAACAACAGACAGAAGGAGCGTCTGCAACACCAACACTAGGAAGGGACTCACACCATTTTTGCTGAAGTTGTAGATTGGCTGATGCCAGAAGGTACACACTCACAGCCCTTACAAGGCCCAGTTTCAGGCAGAACTTTGCATTTTTTTAGGATATTTTCATCAACCAATGCAAGTGCCCAAGAAACACCTTCACTCTATTCATACAGAATCAGAACTACAGGCAAGACTTAGCAGTTTGGAATCCCAGGTGCCAGGAAAAGATAGAAGGGAGGGAGGGAATGAAAGGAGGCTTTCTCCTTGTAAGCTGACTATCTAGAGGGGGAGAATTGCAGACCATAAATAACACCTCCTGAGCAGAAGGAATCAAAGGTACTCGCACCTCTCCAAAACGCACGGGCCCACATCCTGAGGTGGAAAGAGGGAGTCGGTGCAGTCCCAGCTCTACTGTTTTCTAAGTCCTCTCCCCATCTTTTCTTTTGAGAGGATAAAGGAAATTCCATTTCCACTTATGCTTAAAGAATCAATGTTTTCTCTATGCTCCCCCACCTCCTGCCTTTACTCCTAAATGGGTACAATAGTCCCTGCTTAGACAAATGTCAGGGTAGCTGTGAGGAACATAAGAGGATAACATTCATAATAGGGCCTTATAAACTGTGAATGGGTAGAGGATTAATGCTACCGAGAGGCTCTAATGCCTGGGTTAGTGACAATCCTTCATCTCTCCTGGGGACACTGTTCAAGGCACACCATCTGCAAAGAAGGCACAGCAGAGCCCCATCCAGGTGCGTGGAGCATTGCAAGGTACCTTTGAGGAACAGCATGATTCCCCACTACCTACAGCCACTGCTTGTCATCATAGCTCAGTGTCCTACTTCATACCATGACAGCCAGCCCCTTCCTCCATTGCCAGGTCCTGGGATAGCCTGTCTGTCATTGTTTTCTCAGGCAGAGGAAGTGGAGCTAACAAATGAGTACCTAAGACTGGGATTTGATTCTCACCTCTGACACCTACCAGTTGTGTGATATTGGGCAAGTCAACTGACTTGTCTCAAAGTCAACTTCCTCACACATCAAATGGGGTAATTATATCCCACTCCACCCACCAACTGCAAAACAGTATGTGAGCTCATAAAAAATAATGGGCATGTTAAGTCCTTTGCAACTTGTTAAATACTGTCTATATAGAAGTTATTTTAGTAGTCATAATCAGACATTCTGTAGTGTTTGAAGTGAATTTTAGCATGTTCTTTTATAAATCATCCATGTTAAATCAGTGTCAAAATATGGAAATGGTAAAAATAAAGCCATTATTCACGGTCTTGTGTCCCAGGAAGTACGAACATATCTTATGCTCCTTTCGGATAACTCCTGGGGTGAGAATCATAAAATTAATACTACTAACTTACATTCAGGAAGCCTGTCACTGCCTTCAAAGCCCAAGATTACACAGGCAGTAAATGGCAGGGCCTGGATAAAGTCAAGTTCTTCAGCATTCTGGCCTAGTGCTTGTTCGACCGCAAAGGTGAATGAAAGTGGTAGGAATATTGACATGCAACATTCGGGTTCCACCCAACAAGAATAGTGTATCAAGCTTGCCACTCCTCTTTATGCGACCCAAGACAAATGAAAAACTGGCTCAGAGAATACTTTCAATTGTGCCATTAAAACCAATTCCAACCTTTCTGAAAGCATGCAGAAATGTGAGCTACTTTTCTTTTCAAAATTCTAAAAATTTTTTAAAATTCTAATTTGGTTCATGATTCAGTTAAAAAGAAGTAGATCCAGTTTTTTTAAGTGGATAGAAATATACACACACACACCCATGAATGTAGATGTATGTGGTTGTATACATTTCATTTTTATCACAGTATTTAATAAGTTAAAGGAATTTAGTTAGGTTTTTAATCAAGACCCTATTTCTGGTAGGAGTCCAGTAGGATAAATTAAGAGGCACCAAGAGGAAAAATGTTTTGTCCAGGAAGTGAACCTAAAATTGGAATCCATAAATTCAGTCTCCAAGTCAGAACTACCACTTACGGTTGAAAAAAAAAACCCAGTGTCCTATTTTCGTACAGACTGCCTCTTCCTTCCCTCATGCCCAAGGACTTCTCTGGTCTCTTACCTGACTCTCTCTTCTTCGGCCCTCTTCAGAGCAGCATCCCGTTGCAAAACCTTCATGATGGCCTCTTGTTCCTCTTCAGTCAGGAAGCTTAAGTCAATCATTTTGAAAAGTGCATGCAAAAATAATAGCAACAAATGTGACTCAAAATTCTCAGGGCTGAATAACTAACACTGCAACCAGGAAGATTAAAAGACACAAAAATGAAATATCTTGTTCAGTTCTGCAGCAAAAGTCTTATTTTGGCTCAGCAAAAGTTTAGGGCAGCTGATAGCAAGATCCTAAGTGTTCTTTCCCACAAAGAAGTCTTGGTCTGTGGGATAATGTCGAGAAGAGGCTCTCAGAAGGATGCTGTATTCCTTGCCAGACAGGTCGCTTGTTCCTACGGTGGCTCCCAGCACACTCTTTCTCTGGTTCCGTCTTAGACGCAGTTTATTCTCTCTCTGTACCCGTCATCAATTCACAAGGAGGGGCAGCATCAGAGCATCACCTACCTGGGGAATCATGAGACAGCAAACACCAGACAGTGAGAGGTAGTTCCTATAAGCACTACTCATTACTACAAGATTTTTAAATGGCCATGCGAGATGGTCTCTGAGATCAAGGAAACCTGTTCAGCCGGCTTCCTAAGCAAATGGTAAATGGGTCATGAAACATGCTTCAACCCAATTCCAGACCGCCAAGATGGAGAACACACAAAAATGCCTGTCAATGTTTAACGATCCACCTGAGTAAAGAATGGTTTCAAAAAGAACTGATTCTCTCTCTGCAAACTCTGGGGATGCTAGGCTAAAAAGTCATGTTGAAGGTCAGTAAGATCAGGGATATGTGATTCCAGTGGTCAGGCAAGAAATTAGAAATAAAAATTTTTAATGCTCACCTCTTTACAAGTAGGAACATTCCACTGTACCATATATGAGCTCCATAATAAGAGGAGAACTAGTATTAGGTAGAGATAGTGTGCAGAAGAGTGAGAATTGTTATTCTTCATCCAGTCCCACTGCTAACCTTTTCTGGGCCTAAAGGAACCTAACAAGCTTGTCTCCCTTCATTTCTCAGGGGAAAAACACCTACCTATGTGGGTATATAAACTGGGGGAAAGGAAGAGGCAAAATTTCAAACACTTTACCATCCAAAGCGAGGATTTTTCAGTTGCACAATGCGCAAGAATCCCATTTTCTTTGAGGCATCTTCAATACATATGTAATGGGAAGGAAGTGAGAACTGAAGAATGACACAGCCCTACAGAAATTCAGACGTGATCTACTCAAGGTTGGGGCACTTTTAACAAGTGCAGTGCTGCATATACACACTAAAAACCTTTAGTAAATTTTAAAGCAGGCCGGGCACAGTGGCTCATGCCTGTAATCCTAGCACTTTGGGAGGCCAAGGCAGATGGATCACCTGAGGTCATCAGGAGTTCAAGACCAGCCTGACCAACATGGTGAAACCTCGTCTCTACTAAAAAATACAAAAATTAGCTGGGCGTGGTGGCACATGCCTGTAATCCCAGCTACTCAGGAGGCTGAGGCCGGAGAATCGCTTGAACCCAGGAGGCGGAGGTTGCAGTGAGCCGAGATCGCACCACTGCACTCCAGCCTGGGCTACAGAGTAAGACTCCTTATCAAAATAAATAAATAAAATAAAATAAAATGTTAAAGCAGCCCTGCTTAAGAATAAAAGAGTATGTACACTAGTGAATAAAATTCATAAAAATTAATTACTTGAAAAAAAGAATTACTGGGAAGTTATCCTTCTACCACTTGCTAGCTATAAGTAATTGGGCAAGTTACCAACCACTGTGAAGCTGTTTTCTCATTTGTACTTGACATTAGGTTGTTCCTCACAGATTGTAAGGATTAAATGGAATAATGAATATAAAAAGAGCACATGTCTTGCATTCTGTACCAAAAATAGCTACTAAAAATATATTCTAGCTTCCTCTCTGAGTTTACACTTTTGTTCCATCCAGCTGAATAAGACTATATTTAGTAATATGTTTCTTTTGTATTATGTCTCTTTCTGATCTCCCCCCATGAAGTTTGGGCTTCATTGACAGGGAATCTAATGACCTTTGTTTTAATTTCCTCTAGCTCTTTGCATACTGCCCACAGTAATTACTCAAATAAATATTAAGACTTTACTTTATTTTATTTTAATTTGCATGTGCTTGCATATGCTACTACCTGCTTGTTCATCTTGAAAACTACTTACCCTTCAAGACAGATCAAAGTTACCACCTCCATGAAGCCTTCCGTAACTTCCATACCCCTAGTTAAAGCTGCAGCAGATTCAATAATTATTCCTAACTCTTCACTCCCTCCTTGTAACAGAACTATACTATCATGTTCCCACTAGAGTAAGCAAAGAATTCATCCCTACCCTCCTAATGTTGGGCTTGGCCTGTGACTCGCTTTGGCCAATGGAATGTTAGCAAATGTGGTACAAGCATAGGCTGTAAATGTGCTTCTGTGGTTTGACCTGGCTTCTTGTACTCCTGCCACATGCCATGAGAAGAGCTTGTCCCAATTATCCATTGCCTCTTCATCCTGGGTTCCAGAAAGAGATACAAGGACAGACCTGAAAGTGACCCCCCTGAAGCAGGAATCCCCTCTGACCTACAGATATAAAAGAAAAAACTAAATATTTGTTGTTGGAAGCCACTGAGGTTTGGGAGTTGTTATATGACACTCGTACAGCAGGAACCTGCTAATACAAAATCTTTCTCCTCCAAATACACATCGACTGCTGTGATGATCTACTCTCAGTCTCTCCTACTTGACTGTGAGTCTCTGAATATGAACAAATAAACAAATGAGCAAATGAATAAATGAACCTGATCCAAATATACAGTATCACCAGAAGACGGCTATCTCAATTCTTTCCTTTCTTTCATGTGCAGTAACTTCCTTAGATCTCAAAGGCTGGCAAGCAAATAGATTTAGGCCACATTCTGGGACCCAGGTTGCCAATGAGGCCTTACACTGCCATTTGGTTGGTTCAATGTGAGACTTTAAATTCAAGGAGTGGTGGACAGGAAGAAAACAACAACAACAAAAAAACTTAGGTCGTCTAGCAGTGGTAACTGGCAGGGTTGCTGAAATGGGCAACGTTGGCTTCCACACCTTCAAGTAGAATACAAGCTAACTAGTGCTTCTGTGTCAAAGCCTCTAAGGGTTAAAATTTCTCCCTTAAAATAGGCTGTTAGTGAGGCAAAGGGCAATGTTCCCACTTCACAAAGGAGTGAGGGGCTGGAACCCTTTCCTTTTAATTGGGTAGGCAGGAGTCAGTGCCCAGCCAAACTGTAGGAGAGCCCTCAGAGGGCAATCAAGACTCTTCAGTATGAGGTGCTCACCCAACTCCTAATATTCTGGACGACGTCCAGCATGGGAGCTAATCAAACGTTTCCCTCACTCACTTGACAAAGATTTATTGAGGGCCTGGCACTATTCTAAGCACTGGAGGTGCAGCAAGGGAACAAGATAGAAAAACTTCCTGCCTTTGTGAAGTTCATATGCCAATGGATGGAAACGATGATCAAACTAAATAATAAAAATAAAATAAGTTTTTGAATACCAAATAAATTATAACACATTGGAAGGCGATGAGAACAATGGAGGAAAACAAAAAAGGGAAGGGAGGGCCGGGCGCAGTGGCTCAAGCCTGTAATCCCAGCACTTTGGGAGGCCGAGACGGGTGGATCACGAGGTCAGAAGATCGAGACCATCCTGGCTAACACGGTGAAACCCCGTCTCTACTAAAAAATACAAAAAACTAGCCGGGCGAGGTGGCGGGCGCCTGTAGTCCCAGCTACTCCGGAGGCTGAGGCAGGAGAATGGCGTGAACCTGGGAGGCGGAGCTTGCAGTGAGCTGAGATCGCGCCACTGCACTCCAGCCTGGGCCACAGAGCGAGAATCCATCTCAAAAAAAAAAAAAAAGGGGGGGAAGGGAGGAGAGTAATAACTCAGGGAGAGTTGGAATTTTAAAGAGTGGTTAGAGTAGGCCTCATTGAGAAGGTGATGTTTGAACAGAAATGTGACAGCAATGAGGAAACAAGCCATGCAGATATCCCAGGGTCCTGCGGTGGGAGATATCTGGCACATTCAAGAAATGGCAAGGCGGTCAGCGCTGGTACACCTGAGTGCCCCAGGAGAGCAAGAGGAGAGGAGGCCGGAAAGGACACAGGTCAGACTGTATTAGGCCTTGGGAGGACACTAAGACTTCTGGCTTTTATTCTGAGATGAAGCAGCATTAAGGAAAGCCAGACAAAAAGGCAGCAAACATTTACTTGCTCCCTTTTACACGTGTGGCGCTGTACATACATCTCATGGAATCCTCACAAAGACACTCTGAGGTAGGTCTTATTCATTGAGACAGGGTCTGGCTCTGTTGCCCAGGCTGTAGTAAAGTGACACAATCTCAGCTCACTGCAACTTCCACCTCCTGGGTTTAAGCAATTCTCATGCCTCAGCCTCTGAAGTAGCTGGAATTACAGGCACCCACCACCATGCCCACTTAATTTTTGTATTTTTGGTAGAGTTGCAGCTTTGCCACATTGTCCAGGCTGGTCTTGAACTCCCGGCTTCAAGTGATCTGCCGGCCACGGCCTCTCAAAGTGTTGGGATTACAGGCGTGAGCCACTGCACCCAGCCCAAGGTAGGTCTTATCTGTGTTTTTCACACGAGGAGAGTGAGGCTGAGGGGGGCATTCGCCACCAAGCTTATGTCTGACTGGCATTTGCTGATGGTTGTGTCAGAATAAGCCAACCCAACATTGACATCTCATTTAATTCTCCTCTCCACACAGATTCCTCCAATCAGCGAGGCAGAACAAAACCCCTCTCTCTGTGGACCCTCATTCTCTGCTTAAGCATAAGGGACTCACCAGCCTAGAGCTGGCAGTCAGAATGGGGGCAACCTCAACGCTAAATTGTGAGGGATGAATTTTGGCCACTACAGTGTCTTGCATTCTCACCAGAGCCTCACAATAATCTCAGTAAGAAAGGGAGGGTAGGAGTGAATACACCCATTGTTTACAAATATTACTGATGTGTTCACAGGAGGAGCTCCTGCGGCAAGTTTTCCTTGGGTTCAGCCTCTCCTACCCATCCTCCATTCAGCATGATGCTGAGTCATTTTTCTAAAACCCAGTTCTGACCAAGCCACATACTCAGGCTTAAAATCCTTCACCAACTTCCCACTGACTATTGACTAAAACTCAGAATCCTTAAGTGGTCTGTAGGACTCTCCACGAACTACCACCTGCTTTACTCTCCAAGCTCTTTTCCTTAGGCTCCAGCCATTGTGAAATTTTCCAGTTCTTCTTGCCTTCAGGCTTTTGTATGTGCTGTTCCTTCATCCTGGAACACCATTTCCCTGTTAATACCTGTTAGGTCTCAAGTTACATGTCACTTACTGCACAAAAGTCTTCCCTAACCCCTCCAAGCCCCTCCTATGTGCTCAATTAGAACCTGACTTCGTCAGGCACAGTACTCATCACACGGTCTCAAATCGCTACCTACTCATGTTTGTTTCTTGTCAGTTTATGAGCAAGGTCTGTGTCTCCCAGTGATTTGTAACCCCAGCTCTTGCCACTGTCTTGCCTCTACTAGGCACTCAAGGATTCATGAAAAAAAAAAAATGATGAAAATAGGTGGAAGGTGATTGAGCTTCCATTTCCACCTGAACATGAACGTAGCTCTAGGGTCCATAAATGAAAAACTAGGTCCATATTATTCAATGTGTTCCAGCTCTAGATCTTTCACATCATTCTGTGGTTTGACTAAGTTGAATGACTTCTCTAAGTCTTGATTATCTCATGCATATGATGGGTATATTCTCTTCCTTGTGGAGATTACTGTGAGGCTCTGGTGAGAATTCAGGACACTGCAGAGGACAAAGAAGGATAAGGAGCAGCAGTAGAAACAGCAGCACAAAGAGAAATTGGAGGACTCCAAATGTGGACTGTGCTTAATTCATATTTTCCATGTGTCAGCCTTGCCATGCCACATCTATGAATGCCAATACTCTTCTTGTCAATTGTCCAAAAGTTAAGCTGGAGAGAAAAACTAAGGCCCCAAATAGTTGTGCTTGCCTTTGATGGCAACAAAGAGTGGATCTGGGCTTCTGACCCTAATTCCAATTAAAATTCTAATCCCAGGTTAAAGTCTAATTAACAACAAAATTTCCTTCCCAGCAGGCTCTGCTGCAAGGAGGGGCCCAGATAGCACAGATAGCATCTTCTCCTTTCCCAGACAGGGTTGTTGTACCAAAGCCTATACAGATCACCCAGGGAAGGAGTGTAAAACTTACATAAGTGGTGACTCTCACATGATGAGGATTTCAGAAGAGAGGCAAATTGTTCTGACAGTCCCATGACATCAAGAATGAAGGCTTCAAAAAAAAAAAAAAAAATCTGGGCAGCAACAGAAGAGCAGTAACAAATATGCTTGAGTTGGGGAGAATGCCACCAGACAAAAAGGCCCTGATCAACAGGAAGGCTCATCTCACCGGAACACTTACGAAACCATCATGCATAAAACTAAATGCTTTGTAAACTTCCTAGGATCACAGCAGCATCAAAGGATGGATGGAAGGAGAAGCCAAAGATGGAACAAATTGAATGTGACAATCAGAGAGTCTTTGCTCACCTACCTCTCAGCAGAAAGATTTCCCTCCAGTGTACCAGCCCAGTGATCATCAGATCACACTGCCAGGACATCCATGCCCAAAGCTGCTAACTGCACAGCTGGGCTGCTCTGCTTCTCAGGCTCACGTGGTTGGACTTGCCCCTAAGTTCTTCCCATTGGCTCCATTTTACCCTGCCCTCTTGAACCACATTTAATTTATTCTCCCTTGCGCATAATAGTTTACAAAAAAGATGTCATGCTCTCCCCACCTCTTCTTAGTTGAGGGGAAGAAAAACTTCGTTGTTCCCTCAACTGTTCCTCACATGTTTTCTAAGCTTCTCATGATCTTGGTCATTTCTCTCCAGACTGAAAAAATGAGCAGGTGGTGCTAAGCCCTTTACACATATTTCACTTTAACCACTCTGACCACCATGCAGGTAGGTATTCTCCACATCCCATGGATGAGAACACTGGGGCTCAAGTTAAATAACTTGACTAAGGCCACTCAACCAGAATGTGATTTGAACCCAAGGCTTAAGATTCTGAAGCCACTATTTTTCATCTTTCACTGCATCACTAGTCCCCTATTTCTCAGAGAGATCACACAGCTGGTTAGGGGCAAAGATGAGACTAGAACCCAAGTTTCCTGATTCCTAGACAGTTCTCTTTTCACCCTGCTGTTCCTCCCTCTGTACATTTGACTTTGTCATTTCTCATGGGCAACATGCATCAGCCCTCAAGGCATGGCATGCTCTTCTAAGGACGACAACTTGTTAGGAATTAGAAAATGATCAGGCCCTTTGGGTTTGATTTATGGATAGACAAGGTAAAGAGGACAAGCATGAGATAGAGGGGAAAAAAGGCATCTGTGTCACCATGCAGGTATTTATACACGCCTACTAGCCTCTTAGAATGGTATCAATCCCTCGAACCAGAAACAATTACTAAAAGAACCTACATTTTATATGCTTAAGCCCAATCAAAATGTTTTGTAATATGCGTACACAGAAATGTGTTTATATGAAAAGCAAACTTTGTCCACGCACAATTGGGTAACAATGCTACATGAATATTTTGTTTCTGTATAGTCAGAGCCTTCAGTGCTCTATTTTTAAAAAACACATAAATTACTCAGTGTAATGTGTTGCTTAAATGGGGCTTCTTGAGAGGAAGGCATTGTCTTCTGACTGGTTCAAAGTAGCCTCTTAAAAAATAATAGCTGAATGAACAAATAAAATGAACTTCTTCATAAAGAAGTGAACAAATGAAAGGATATAGATAGAATAAGAAAGGATAAGCTACTCAATAATAGGTTGTGTTTTTTTTTTTTTTTTTTTTTTTTTTGAGACGGAGTCTCACCCTGTCACCCAGGCAGGAGTGCAATGAGTGCAATGGTGTGATCTCTGCTCACTGCAACCTCCGCCTCCCAGGTTCAAATGATTTTCCTGCCTCAGTCTCCCGAGTAGCTGGGATTATAGGCACCTGCCACCATACCAAGCTAATTTTTGTATGTTTAGCAGAGACGGGGTTTCACCACGTTGCCCAGGCTGGTCTCAAACTCCTGACCTTGTGAACTGCCCACCTCAGCCTCCCAAAGTGCTGCGATTACAGGTGTGAGCTACTGTGCCTGGCACTTGCCATTTTTTATAGAGCAACTGAAAATTAAAAACGGACAGTCATCTCAAAATACAAAG